GGCAGCTCCCATAACCATCCCAATAGTGCACTCTGCACTAAAAAGAACTTGGCCAATATCCAACCATCTTGACCTCACACTTGGTCAATAACTCATATATCTTTACCTCACATTTGGTCAATAACCATATATAAATGTAGTTCTAAATGTAATGGTATGTTTGCTCTAATTCGTTTCTCAGATACGTTTTATCTCGTCGTTCCGAAGTAATTCTTGTATTCCGCTTATATGCCTCGGATATAAGCCCCCCCGTTTGAACGCCCACCCAAAACCCCTTATGATATGAAGTTATATATTAACGTGGGATTTTACGGCATTCAAAGAGTTCAGTCAAAGATAAGGTGAATGAAAATTTAAGCCGAACATATCAAAGGTTCGTCATTCCAAATCCATCTTGTCTTTCACCACCTTGTTTCTTTTTGAGTTGCTATCAGGCCTATCAAGTTTTTCCTATCATTCCTTACAGAGTTTCGCGTTAAAAATGTCTACCGATCAATGGCCGGTCAGTTTTTCCCGGGAAAGAAAACATTAAAGCAAGCCACGCTGTTATTTAAGCAGCCTATAGAATCACCGGCGCTGATTGCTCCAAGTAAATATGTGGCAAATAATGGAAAAGGAATGTATGTCAATGTGAAGTACTGCGGGACGTTGAGCGCTGCGTGACCTCGAGCCGAGCAGCTGTGAAGGAGACTAGTTCCAGGTTGGTAAATCAAGATGGTCATGATCATGATAATGGAAAAGGAATGTATGTCACGGTGAAGCACTTCGGGACGTTGAGTGTTGCGTGACCTCGAGCTAAGCGGCTGTGAAGGAGACTAGTTCCAGGCTAGTAAATCAAGGTGGTCACGATCACTCTCCCCAGTCCTCTCTGATTTGTTCCCATAATTTACATGTACGACTGAATGCTTGTATTGTCTGAAGGAGTAATAGGAGTGGGTTAAAAAAAAAATGACTCGGTAGAAAAATTAGTGGGTCGTAGCTTTGTTAGAGGAATTTTGCTTGCTGGGGATTGACTAGGGTTAGGACAAAGGCAGCTATTTTTTAAGGGATTGCTGAAAGTACACATGAACAGTAAGAAAGCTAATACAAATAAACAAGAAGAACTACTGCAGACGACATCTCAAACGGAGAGAATGTGTATCTGAATATCAAGGCAGTTGAACTTTAACTTAAAGCCGTGTGGTTGCATTTAGATGCTGGCTAGGAGAACCCTTTGATTTGTTTACCTGTGTTCTTGTCTTAGACTGGCTGTGTAAACAAGAAAATAAACCCCACACTTCGTTTACAGACACAGACCTTGTTTATTCAAAATGATACACTTTATCCTCAAGACAAATCTAGTGAAACTTGCTGATAATAATCTATCTTGCCTGTCACTCGATTCAAAGCAGGGTCCTTGTAAAGCGAAAGTGTTAATTTACAACAGCCTTATTTGTCTCTGAAGCATTGGATTCCTCCATCAAAGCTGATCACATCCACTGTACAATATTGTTGTCCTCTTTAAAAAAACTCAACTGGTAAAATTTTCTTTGCAATGCTGTGGTGTTTATCCGACCACCATTGTGTTCTCGTCAAGGAACGTGTACTCAGGAACCTGGAAGCACAACATAAAGAGGGAATTCATGAAAATAACCATTTAGGAAATAAGGCAGATATCACTGCATACAAGTGTTTTGCCACATCAGCAGGCAAGTGAAACACTTACAACATACAGTAACTAATTATTAACTGTCATGATAGATGTAAATTAATCACTGTAATGATTTGGAANGAAGCACTCTCACCTCAAGATTTAAGGGTGCAGGTCCCTTTCTGATTCTTCCTGAAACATCGTAGTGTGATCCATGACAAGGGCAGTAGTAACCTCCGAACTCTCCAGAATTGGCAAGCGGCACACAACCAAGATGGGTGCATACACCAATTACTACCAGCCAGTCATCCTTTACCACACGGTCAACATCCTCCTGAGGGTCACGTAGACTGGACATATCAACATTGCGGACATCATCAACTTCTTCAGCACTGCGGTGGCGCACAAACAAAGGCTTTCCACGCCACTTGAACACCATATTCTTTCCTACATGTACACGAGACAAGAGTTTATTCCATAACAGTTCAAGCTAACCAATATAATCAAAGGATGAATACTGCCTTTTAATGAACCATAAAACAACCACATTGAGCTGAATTATGAGGAAGGTACCAACTGAAAGCATTATCTACCTATACAAAACAAGCAGGGAAAATCAATTTACATTTTTAGGGGGTATCACTACAATGCGAGTCAATGTTATTTAAACCATGGTGACATGTATCTCTACTGGCAATACTGTATATTGAAAAGTTTACATTTTTATACACTGTATATGTTGAAGGATGTTTCATCTACAACAAGGCATTACAGTTTGCTAAATTCCTGTGTGTTTCAAAAGGCAAAGTCTCAATAAGGAATCCACCAGATCAATGGAGCCTTGCCAAATGAACAGACACTTTCTATCACTTTTTTTGGGTCAGCTAGACAACTTCTTTTAAAAGGGTTTCACCTGAGACCCCTCTTTTACAGCTGAATCTGTAACACTGAGTTTGGATGCAGTCAGTCATCAGGAGGGGCATCTATTACCTTCAGGAATGGTTGTAAGATCCACTTCAATTTTTGCCAAAGCCAGGACATCTGCTGATGCACTCATGGTAGACACGAAGTCAAGCACAACATTCTTGCCAGCATGTAAACCGGTAACACCCATGCCAGCGACCATGAGATAAGTAAATGCTCTCCGACTGATTTCAGATGTGTTAGGCTTGTTAGGATCCTGTGACACTTCTCTTCTGTAAGCACTGAAGTCAGGCATGGAAACATCTGTGTGGCTGAATCGCACTTGTGTTTTGCCTAGGATAAAAAAAATACTGTGTTCAATACTTTGGAATGTTTTTGTTCTCTTCCTTTTCCTATAGAAGCTTCATCTATGCCAGTACAGTGAATCTCGTCTCTTGCAATTTCAACCATCTTTGCTCCTCAGTTAAAGCTAGAACATCAAACAATTGTAAGAGTGATTGAGTACACTCACTTCCCAAGTCCAATTGAACCCAATTACACAGTCTTGAATCACCTTAAAATTACACAGATGTTTTAAACAAAGACTGTCCTTACATGCAAGGACGAGTACAACATTAAGCTAAACATCCACTAGGAAACAAAATTTACACACTTCTTGCATTCCTATTATGAAGACAAAGCTATATGCAATCTATTCACCATCCACTTAAAATCAATATAGTCAAACATTGGATTTCATGTATGCTTGACTGCTGTAATTGTTTTCAGAGTGTTTAGTCACTGAATCAAGGGACTGGGTTTGATTGAATTTGACAATAAATATCCCCTACATTTGACGAATACCATGCCATGCAGTACGAACGTCAATTCTTACCAAACTAAAACTACATGTGAGCACAATGTTTTGACGACAAGATTACCTATATTGCGTACATCGTATTGCGTAATTCAGTCTTGTATATCGGACTGCTAAAGCGCATGCGAGCTAAAATGCTTTGAGAGGAAATCTCCGACAACAACAATTTACTTTCAATTCCACACACAAACAAAAAATGAAAACCTATTCTTACCAAAATGTTTCGTCGTGGCAACAAGATTCCCAGTCGGCACAATTTTCGCTAACGAGTGATTTGTGAGAGTAGCCGGCGGACTCTGTACTACCGTATCAGCCACAGGAATCACGACAGCGGGAGTACCTTTCAACGACTGTGCAACATGGGTAGTGGTGGCAGATAAAAATCTTGAAAAGCCAGGTGATAAGCATTTAGTAGAGAACATCCTGGACGAGAGATTTCAGGCCAAAAACTCGCGATGCTTTGACGAAGTTGAAGTTTTACAATATGGCCGACAATATTTGCGTCACGTTTACCCATAATGATGTGCAAGTCGATAAGAAAACCGCTGACTGGTGCCTGGACTGGTGCTGAAAATCAAGCGCCATTTTCGAAGTTTTGTGTGAGTGTTGCGGTTGAGTTAGGAACGCAGATGTCTTGAAAACTTCGCTTGTTTCGCACCACAACACAGCAAAATGATACCAAAGACGATTTGCATGTCCGTGCTTGCATATAGTGATAATCATGGACGATGGGACTAAGTCACACGCGAGAAAAGACCAAGTTATATTACCGGGTAACTGTGTTGCGCTGCAGCCGTTTATTGCAAAACTTGGTAAGAAATGAAACATAGCATCTCTAAATCCATGACGTACGTAGCATTCTCTACAGTTATCGAACCAAAGCAGCGCAAAGAAGGCCAATCAGGGTATCAAAGAAAGTCGATTAGATATTCCCACCTAAGGGTATTCTTAGATATTGTAAATTTGTTAGCCAGAACATTTTTGCTACTTTCCTTGGTGGTCGAAATGGTTGTTATGTTGTAAGCTTAATTAAGATTTAGAGTTTTTGAGCCCTATTTGGAGGTGTTCTGCCTCTCTCCACTTGGATAGCAAAAACTATGTTACAATGCTGAAGGGGGTGGGGGCAGGGGTGNGGGGGGGGTGAGGTGCTAAACTGCAGTTTAAGATAATAGCCAGGCACACCCAATGGAAGGGCATTGGATATTCCAAGTAGGCTAGGGATCTTAAAACACCAAAATTTTTAAGGAAAGTATGAACTTTAACTGGAATTTCCTCAGGTGGGGTGGAGGATTGAAACCTTTTGTGGGTATGTATTTCAAGTGAATTCCTCAAAAAAATCTGGTGATGTTTATTTAGAACTCAGCCATATAGTGTAGATGTAGCATTATTTGTGTGTTTTGACTTGTACATGCTGTGCATGTATGCCATGGACCATTTATTCAAAGGAGTTAGTTATACTTATCTACCTCCTGGATAATACACCATAATGCATTAGGTAGGGTCATTGGTTTTGTTTATACCTCTGTACTTGTTACTCACTGGATAATAGGGACTTTAAGATATGGTAGGGCTAGGCTGTAGTACGGCAGCAGATAGTGAAAATCGCTTCCGGTGACGTCATGACGTATGAACCAGTACGGCTTTCCCGCCATAACCTTGCTTTCTACTATGGGAAAGTGCCTGGTTTCACATACTCTTCACTACTTGAGTATAAGCCTGCTGTTTAGTTTTCATTTTAACGCTTTTTTCACTGTTTGAACAGTCTAGTTTGAAGATAAAGTTCTCAATCACACAAATCAGTTCTAAGATCATTGTTTCTTTGTCATTTGTACAGAAAATTTGAATGATTTTAACACCTACTGCGAGATGATCAATTCAGTCATATTATTATTGGGCTGAACAGCCGTAGATAAGAAGGCTTTGTATGTTCTAAGCTGAGCTATGATAATATTGTTCAAAATGTATTTTAATTTAATTGAAAGTTTTGTATTTTCGGGCTTATCAGGTAATCGTTGTACAAAAAACCTGTCCGTGTTGAAATCGAGCTTTTCTATGTCAGAGTTTATATTTTGTTTTTTGGTTGGAATTACAGGCGGTTCTATCAAGTTCTAAAAGGCAAATCTGAGTTCTGGAAGATGCAAGACAGATACGGGAGAAGGAAATCATTGTCATTAATCAAGCCTGTTTCATATGAAAGTAGAATGATCTCTGGTTTCCGTGAAAGTAGTCATTTTTGTAAAGACACCTAGAGACTGCACATACTGTTGCCGTACAGCAAAATCTTAATCATTTGAGTTTGGTGGTGTAACACACCGTCGTCAGCCTAGCCCCTCACGGCCAAAGTAGCCGTAGTAGCACCTCTCTGTGCATGTAGCGTATCGTAAAGTCCCCAATGATGTATCTGATGGATGGGGTTTCCAATCCTTCAAACAACTGGGACATCTAGGAAGAGTATACATGTATTTGGTTTGACTTTTGATGGCTATTACATGTAGTTCACTGGATTCTCTACATTCCTAGTGATTGATTACATCAAGTTTTTTACTTTTGGTTTTTCAGATGCTCTATTGTTAGATGTAAATTTAACTTTGTTAACAATGAGGAGCACGTGTGGCATTAGTGATGGCTAGTGTTCTTTAACATGTGAAGCATTTTTAGCATGCTGGGGCCCGTTTCTCGAAGGTCCTGAAAAGGTTTCGCACCAGAAAAGCCATAGCAAAATCTCGAACCTTACGATTACAGAGCTGTTTTATTCACGTATTCTTAATATGAACAGATGTTCCCTTCATACATGTACAGGAGGTGTCAGATGTATACACTTCTTTGTTTTTAGATGCAGATGAACTAAAAATGGCTTTACGGGCCCGAAAAGTTTCTGGGGCTTTTGAGAAACGGGCCCCTGGTGTCTACTATTCAGCACCTTACCTGTTTGGTTTATAAATAGGCAAGATTATGTTTAGTGGACCCCAGATGAAACTTATTTGTGCACCTTCCCACATGCTTGTGTTGGCATTGTGTTCTTCTGTTATGGTGTCAAGCTTACATGTACATGTGCAGCTTTTTAGCGTTTTCCCTCCCTCCCCTCCCTATGATGTTTCCTCCTGCTTCTCAGCTCTGGGGTTGAGTTTGTGTTTTCATGTCAAGGTAAATGTACCAACATAGCAAGTTATGGAAGGTGATGGTTTGAGCATTGGCCCTTGGTCAGAGCAAAGTCAGTTTTAGTATTGCATGTACACTGTAGTTGCCCTATACTGTGGGTGGAAAAGATGTCTGGATTTATTACAATGTAGGTGGTAATTCAGGGCAGGCAAAAAAATAAGGTCCAATTGCCTGGAGCAAGAAGATTTTTCTCTTGGACAAGTGAAAATGAAAATTAGGTGGTCCAGTGGGCAAGTGAAATTAGCCTTTAATAGTCTTGTTAGTGATAATTTCCAATAAAAAACAATTTCAAAACTTAAGACTGCAAGATGAGCAAAACAATGAGTTGAAAACATGGATTACATTTAATTTAAAATCCAAGCACACTTTGCTCACGTTCATCCTGATTATATAGACAGTGCTTAAGTAAATGATGCAGTTGGTACATGTACATGTAAGGCATGAACATTGCTCTCCTATTAGGTTAAATTTGGGCAACTGAAAACTGAAATCTATTGGCCCCCTGGGCAACTGGAGTTCAGAACATTTTTCCAGCCCTGGGTGTAAAGAACATCATTTCCTGGGGTGCCATGTGATTATGAGTGTGAAGATTGAGGCAACAGGTGACACAAAACTTAATGACAACCCTGATTTTCTTGTGGCAACAGCAGCTTAAAATCCTTGCAGAGGTTTTGGTTTTGGTTGCTGACATTTTTTCCATTTGACAGCGCACAATGTGGAAGAGATTCGTGTGAGAGCATTAAAGAACATTCTGTTCAAGCTTGAGCACAAGTTGGTGTGTGCAGCTGATCTGGTCCAGGAAAGGCAGCTGTTGATTAATCTGTTGCAATGGTTCAACTTTCCAAATGCTCCACTAAAGAAAGAGGTGCTGGGAATTCTTGGAACTCTGTCGAAGGTACATACAATGTCATGTTGTTGTTGTTTACTAGGTATAAAATTTTTCCAACCAGTTTGATTTTAATTCTCCGTTGTTCTATATTCATTAGCATAATTTAAAACAAAGAACCTGGCAGTAATATAACTTTATTTTAACATGTACTTGTTAGCTTAGTGATGGTTGCAGTATTGCACACACAAATGGAATATGACTGATTTAATATCAATGATTATTACATAACTTGACTGTGATTGGCTGAGAAAAGGCAATTTTTTTTATTATTCATTTTAATTTGCAGTGTACATGTAGTAAAATTTAAGGCATGCATGCAGACTTTTCATAATAATTTTCTCAGTCATGAATTACATGTTTTTATACAATAAATGAGTCATTGTATGTTTGAAAATCCATTCAAATTATATTTGCGTTAAAGTGGTACTATGATCAAATTTTTACCCCTTGATATTTTAGGCGTATCACATAGAATTCAATGAAAGAATAAAAACGCTGTTTACCATTTGCAAGTATCTGCATTAGTTCCTGAGATATTTCAGTTCGAAAAATGTGTAAAATATGCAAATGAGGTGACTGATGACGTCATATACTCAACGCAATATAATATCAAGTATATAAATAGATCTATCTTGGCCAATTTGCAGCGCAGACCATTAAAACTTGGTAGGCTAATACCTCTACAGGAAGCATACCTACAGCTATGAAAAAATTCTGTTGCGATGGCAACTTACTCTTTTCCAGTCCCCACCCACTTGATTTCAATATGTTAGTGATTTTTAGCTCAAAAAACCTCAAGCGAGGCCACAAACTGGAGCTAACATATTTATATACTTGCTGGATCATGCATATGAGGCACCATTTGCAAATAGGAAAATGGAACGGCAAAGGTGGCCAGAAATGCTTTTAATATTGGGGAGGTCTGGAACCCAGTATGTTGCCATGGTAACAAAACTGATAGGCTTGTATTGTAGAGCACATTTAATAGAATCCTCCTGCAAAGAATCAAACATTTCTGATACAAATTGGCTGAGATATCTTTTTTCATCATATTTGATCAAAATTTGGTTGAGTGTATGATGTCATCATTTTGCTAATTTACATATTTTAAAAACTTGAATATCTCTGGAACAAAAAGAGATATTTGAAAATAGAAAGCAGCTTTTTTCTTCTCTTACAGGCTACTTGTTTATGTTTTAAAATGGCTTTGATAGGAAAGATGCGGTTTTCGTCATAGTAGCACTTTAAGGCTTGTATAATGGTGAAATTTAGAGTTTTCAGATATTCATTGTGTAAATCCTTGATTGTACTTGCATTAATTAATACAATTGTAACCAAAATTAAATATAAAAATAAGTTTTTAAGAATAAAATTTCCTAAACTGTGTCTATTTGGGATATTGTAATTCCCTAGACCATTATGCATTGTACACTGCAAAGTATGTCTGTTTTTGGATTTGTGAAGCCTGTATTCTTCAGATCCTAAATGTATTAATGAGTAGAATTTGCTTTTAGGTTCTCTATCCTTTGATGGGTTTAATTTAACCACTTGTATTTCTTTAACATTTTCAACAGCCTGTGTCTGGAGCGGAAGGTCTGTTAAGCATTGGAGCTATAGAGTTCCTGTCGCACTTGAGGCAAGATGTGGATCCTGAGTTACATCGCGGCATTGATAGTGTGATACATCAACTGCTTAGCTTACCACAGGATGATGCTGTGGACCACAATCAGCAGTGCTTGTATAAGGATGATAACCCTGGGGTGATAGAAAGCATCCAAACCTCTGTGAACCACAGTGAAAAAGACAAATCTTATGGTGGGTATCGACTCAAGCCAGTACATGTGGTCAGGTCATGGGTACAGTTCCCATCTTGGACTCAGAAGTTCTCTTTGTCCCATGCTCCTGGAGGGTCTTCTTCATTTCACTACTGAGCTTAAAAGTTGTTTTTGCAATGAGTTAAATTACATTCTTTTGATATAAATTCCTTTCCAGGTCAACATAGTACAACTCACAGAGAACCACATTGTGCACCAGTGTCTTTGAACACACAGTCGTCACCTGCTCAGAATGGTCTCCATCCTAGCACTCATAGCATATCTGTGTTGTCATCTATAAGCCCTGCTACTGGATACTTTGGAGAACAAGAAGGGCAGGACTCAAATCGAAATAATGTCATTCCAGAACAGGTGAACTCACTTCATGGTGCAGAATCCTTGTCAAGTAAGCAACATTAGCTGCAATTAACAATTAATTCTAGCAAATTTACCACACAGATTCAAAACTGGAATTGTAAAATAGATATTTAAATGTGGTTACTGTAAATATCATCAGGCAAAGTTAGACTCGAACCAATGCAGCCAGCGGTTTCTCCCTTGATGGTACATGACCTGTGAGACAGCCCTCAGGGCATTTGCAGGGCTCTTGTGCTTCATTGCACTACTGTAACATGTACATGTGCAGATTGTTTGCTGCTCTTGCCAGTGAATCTTTGTGGATTCTTGCTCCCTCTCCTCCCTCTCCTCCCTCCCTCTTGGTTTGCTGTTTTTTTGGTGAGTATGCGGTCAGGTAAGTTATTTCCACTGATATCTTGTAGTGTGACGGTGCCAGTTTGCAGTTGCTTCTTGGTTCCCACTTCGAGGTTTGCCATGGATATCTCCCTTCAGCTTATGGCACTTGGCTCCCTGCTAACCCTTTAGCCACCAGTTCCCAAGCTCATCTACAGGCCAGGCCAGGCCAGTTCTGAACTCTGGTTTCTTTAAAATGATGTAGCTTGGACACTCAACCTGTACATGTAACTACATTGTACTCCACTAAATGGAGATGAGATGCTTCTGTTCAGTAGTTCACTGAGCACTAGTAACCCTACTATTGTAAACTCTGACCAAGCCTCAAACAATGATTGTTAATCCAGCCTAGTTGTTTGAATATACATGTACATGTAAGACCACTGCACCTCCTGCACAGTGGAATTTTACACAGAAAGATCCTCTCAGTGTCTTCATTACATATTATGTAAACATGGCGGGTTTGACACAGATGAAGTGGTATTACACACTATACTATTTAGCATACAAAGTTGTTATTATACAGTGTCAGAAACAGGAAGAAAGGAGTTGAATTGTAGTAATCAATCAGTCAATGAAGACTAAGAAGAAGATAAAGATAGGGGAACAATTACGCAGAACCTTGATTTGTTTCTCTTTTCCATATCCCATAATTTATTTACAGGAAACTCTAGTGACAATTCAAGCCTGACCTTTCTTCCATGGCTACCTTTGTCAGCAAGTGACAGGCACATTTTGTCTGTGACAGCCAGTCGCCTACAGAGTCGCAGCTCGTCCTTGGTTTCCAAGTCTTGTGAGTTTCTCAGGGATGTTCTGTTTAAGGATTTCCCCGCAGAGATCTTCTTACACAGGCCAAGTGTGCTTCAGGTGAGAATCCAATCTCTCGCTATGGAAATATGATTAATATTTCGAATGTGGAATGTGTTACTTGAGTCATGCTCACGACTCTTTGTTTGCAAGAGTTAATATGGCCTGCCAATGGCCAAAAGCATACCAGGTCTCAGGAATGGCCAACAAATATCTTTGTACGTGTATTTAATTGTTAATAATGATATGATATACAATTGTGTGTGACACTTTGATCTGTCATGTGGAAGATATTATACTCTCATTAAAAATGCAAATGACATCAAAATGGGCCACTAGTTACAACTTTCAATAAGTACTTCTAGTCCATCTTGAAGGGACTACTCTGTCATTTTCAGTTTCCCTTTTCAAGCACTAACAAGTAATGTTTGTTCAACCAAGTCTCTCCTAGAACTACTGGAGGATAAGGTCCATGTTGGTGATGATGTCACCCTTGTGCTTAATGCCATACAGTGTCTGTGTGACCTAAGTCGTCATGTCCATGTGCGACTCATGACAGTGTCTGATCTTGTACTGTTCTGTCCTGACCAAGGTTTGGTATTATTTTTCTTTTTTTAGTAAGCTGGTATCTTAGTTCATTGTATGGTATTTGGAAAGATGTTCAAGCAAATGCACACATTTATTTGGTAGTAAGGTAGTGTGTCTTTGTGATCCCAACAAGCTCTACAAGAACTGTAAGTCTTAAAGGAATATTTGATGTCTTTCACCATGGGCTAGTCTTCAAACTCTTCTTTTCCTGTCCAAGCTCATACAATTTCATGTGTAGTGTACATGTGCTTTGGGATATTCTGATTGACAAACGTTTCCTTTGACCATGCATTGTTCTCGTAGAAAACATAGGTAACCAACTGCAATCCCCTAAACTGCATGCATGTTATACATGTGCTTTGCCTTTGCAGAGTTGTCTATTGTTAAATGCAGTTAAATGCAATTTAATGGAGTTAACAACAAAGAGTGCCTGCCTTCATGTAGTTGTCAGCAGTGTCTTGATGTGTGCATGCACCAGAATTCCATGTGCTCCTAGACCAAGACGGGTTTACGACCTTCGCAGCCATAGCATTTACAGTGAGCACTGTTTTGCATGGGAACACAGCTTCAAGCATTCCCCCTCCCTTCCATCTCTCTTTCCACGGTTAATTCAGTATGATGGGTGCCTGTCTTCCCTTCTGCATGGGGGCTCATGGCTTGGTTTCCAGAATTTGCCAGCCATGCGAGTGGTCTCCATCTAGGAGCTGGGTGCCAATAGTGGAAGCTCCTGGATGTCTCAGGCACCCAACCTCCATTTAGCGATGCATTTGTTAATATATATTTAAGATGAACATGTTGTTTTTAAACTGAACAGACTGCTGGAAATTCCGACATATCACTGTATCAGTGGAAACAAAGAATCAAGGCACTGATCATCAGGTGGCAAATGTAAGAGAAACTGGAGATGGAGGCGTTGACAGGTGTGTATTTGCATATGTATTAAATTCTGTTCACCATGCAACATATCCAGCAGTAACCGTAAGGGAGGGTTTATGCAGGAAAACCTTTATTCCATAAACTTCACAAAGTAATGACCTCCCAAAAGTAGCAACCCTCCAAATGTAATGTCAAAAATTGTGGCCACTAATAAATCCCGAATGTAGCGACCCCAATATGAAGAGCCCATTCATGTGGCAGCAACATAAATTTAATGTGGAATGAAGAATTTCATTCATGTTTTACAAATCCTTTTTTTGAAATTCTGTTGCACCAACATTTTTACAATGCTTTTTGTTCAAGGAAAGTAGCACTAATCCCCTGAAAGTAATGATCCCCTGAAAGTAGCATTCCCCAAAGGCTGCTTATCCAGGGAGTAACGAGGGTCATTACTTTCATTCCAGTTTGGCTTCATAATTTCGTTTAAAAATTTTCACGTTTGAAACCCCCCCCCCCCCCCCCCCCCCCAATTGGGGGATACCAGTGGCAAACCAGGGGTTTACACCTCCTCAATTTAGGTTCTCTGGTAGTCAGGGAATGCACCTTTTTTCACGGCTTCACTACACAATGCAGGGGATGAGTGGGGGTTTGGCGGGGATTTCACTTGCGGTTCACGACCTCTTTTAGAAGACTGGCAAGGTTCAAGTTGCATGTTCACAGAAAACATGGAAGCTGAACAATTGACGAAGAAGGTACATGTATGATTTCAATTGTGAAATATCATGCTTTGGCTTGACTTCAGTGGCATGAAAAAAATCCTTTGAAAGCTCCAGTCGTGAAAATAATTATAATTTATTTAATGAACTGTGTTTGATATTTAGAGGGCAGGGGAGTTCACTCTAAATTTTTCCCTGCAAGACAGGGCTTTCATTGCACTTCACTGAGAGTGAAAGTGAATGCATGCCTCAGGTATCCCCCAAGAGGGGGAGGTGGGGGGGTTCAAATGACTGGTGCATTGTTATCATGAAGCACTGTATAATAGTGGACCACACAGTTTTTATAAACAAGTATATGCATACATGTACAACCAAATGAGAGGAGAGACCATATACTTGACCTGTTAATTCTTAATTAATGTAACTGGGTTCCTTTTGTGTGGAAATTACAATCGGTGGTAATTTTTGATTTGCAACTGTAACAGAGGTTAAGGGTGGCTTTCAGCAGCTGTTGCCTGTAATGAATGAGTTCCTACTAAACAGATGATTAAGAATACATAATGTACTTCCATTGCCAAGGACAAATATGAGAAGGAGGCTCAATAGGAAACTTTTTCAGTAGAAGTAAATGATGGGTAACCCTTTGGTTAAGTTTACCAAAAGGAGGATAAGAATACAGTGAAAAGTGCAGATACTATACTGTGCACTTGTTGATCATAGTGAAAACAAACAAAAGACCTGTAAAAGGGAAGAGCACAAGACGCAATAACTATTCAGTCAAGGGCTAGACCCACTATTCACTAGTAGGCCATTACACTTGTCACTGGTCATGCTAAAACAAGGAAGAACATCTCGATTCTGTGTTGACTTTACAAAACTGAATGAGTCTTGACCTGTCAGTTTGGGCTTCCCATTCACGCACATTGGGTATGACTTTTGGGTTGTGTGGTGGAACAGCAACATTTCAGACTTATGGCAGGAAGGAGAATGAGGATATAAAAGCAACATGGTTTTTAATGGGGAATAGTTCAGACATACATTTTGACATGTTAGATCTCTCTTTACTTGTATCACACTATATAACTACACTATTAAAAAACATGTTATTAGTTAAGATGTACAGTGCTAATCTCTTTGTACCCAGTTGCTGTCTCTAAGCATTTAACTACATCTAGTGTCTCTCATGAGCAAGCAGTTGGACACACTTTACTTCTGTCTTGTTTGGATTTTAGTGATGATCAGTCAAATTCTAATCTGTCTGACAACAAAGCCTCCCAAGCAAGTGATGAAGATGAAGATGAGATGGTAACAGAAGCACTACAATTTAACCAACTCTCCTTGGAGGAGTTTTGCATCATTCTACTCTCCAGAGTTGTACCCATGTTTCAGGGACCCCTGTGTACTGATTCAGCCTTAATTGAGTCTGCAGTTAACTTGTTACACAAAGTTCTGAGTTTAATGACAAAAGTTTTTCCTGTTGATCTGTGGAGAGGTGGAACCAAGTTGAACTCTTTGATGGTTAGTGAAGATGATTCATCTGCATTATCATGCATGTGTCAATAATATGACTGAAAATGACGAGGTGCGAGACAGTTCTAGCAGGTGTTACTACCATTTGTTCTGTGGCTTGTGTTTGTAGCCAATAGAGGGCATGCCGTGATTGGCTAATTCTGGGTCATTGTTCTCCTGTAATGCCACAGGCCGATTACGGGCCTGCAAAAACAAAGCAAAAAGCCATATTACAGAGAGTTTATTAACCTCAAGTGTTCAGTTTTTTACGATGAAAATCTCAAACCTCAGCCTTGCCGTATTAATCTCAGTTTGAAATTATCCAGTAAAGACCTCAATCTAGTAGTTATATCAAAGATCAGGAACTCAACTGGTCAAAACACATTCAACCAGCCATCACAGTTTAACCCTGTACACCAATGTGATATGTACACCATAATGTCTTAGGTTTATTTGGTGTGCACCTTTGACTGAGTAACATGTAATGTACAAAAACGGGTTCTGAATATAAACTACATGTAAATAACAAAGCTTTAAATTTCTATATTTTGTTTTTGTCAGGCCACTTCTCTCGTTAATGTTATGAAGAGCTTGGGTGAGAGTATAGTGCACCACATCAAGTATTATGTTCAGCTAGGACATGATGACGATAAAGAGGAAGGTGTCAAGCCATTAAAGCATACACTACCAATACATCGACTGACAGTTATCAATCTGGCAACATTACTGCTGCAATTTTTGGAGAACTTGGTGCCTCTGGAAATGGTAAATTCAATGGTCATGTGAGAAGTAACTAATATAAGCAGGGTTCGCATGGGTCCTGGAAATCCTGCAAAGTCCTGGAATTTTATTGTGGCATTTTCCAGGACTGGAAAGTCCTGGAAAAAGGCTGCTGGTCCTGGAAAGTTTTGGAAATCTGTTAAACTCAAGTAAAAAAAAAATGAAATGTATGGCAGACAGTAAGGAGAATTACCACTGAGATCTTGGGAGTGAAAGGGTTAATGTGAATTTTAGAGTCCTGGAAAAATCAATCTCAGTCCTGGAAAAGTCCTGGAAAATTGTTTCTGAAAAAGGGTATGAACCCTGTATAAGAATACAAATAGTCAAAAGCTATTGATTTCCTTTTGATTTGGAAACTCTTTTACTTCTTATATGACCAAGTTACTTGTTTATGACAGTTTACTCTATAGTGGAGCACTGGCTGCTTATATGAAGACCCTGACTCACTGAGTTGTAATCCATTTTTTTGATCATCAGTGACTATACTTCAGAATGAGCTCACCAGTGATATTCCAGGCACTTAAATACCCTAAGCAGTGTTTGGCTTTTAAATAAATGTAATTTATCTACTTCTATCTGTGATGAATCAGCAGCTGTTTTGACCTTACCCTGAGTTTATGAATAAACTCTGTACTGTACTCTTGACCATTATTTTTGTTGATAATCTTACAAATATGTAACTATATAATTTTGTTATTTAATTTTCTAGGCTTGTAAAGTGGTTCCTTCTGAGGTAACTACAGTCATGTGGCTCCTTTCTATGGATGAGCTCCTGGCTGCTACCCATGCTCACCTAAGACCTGCTGCAATGAAGTACCTGGCTGTTCTGGATCCATATTCATACAAACTTTGCATTTTTGCCCAAGACATTTGTGAGTCAATGGCCAGCACTTGCAAATTCTTAAAAGCATGTAGAGTCAAGGTAGGTGATGGGTCTTTGTACAACCTTGTACATTGTATCTAACATTCTTTGAAATGCATGGGGTTTCTTTGCCAAAAATGGGAGTCCACTAGATATGACATACATTGTGTTAAAATCTGGTTTCTTGTTTTATCTCTAGGAACTTGGAAACTCCCTGAAAGAACTCTCAAACCTTGTTCAAAAATCTGTACCAAGTGTGACATATCACAAACATATGGAATTCATCCACGAGGCTCTGAAGATCTGTAGTAGGGTTTGTGATCCATTAACTCAAGCAGATGAACGGGCCATCCCTGTTTGCCAGAAAATAGTACTTCAGTTGCTTGCTCATCCTACTTCTGAAGTTAGACTGCAAGCTTACAAAGCATCACTAAGTCTGGTGAAAGAAGCCTGCAGGGTCAGTCACGTGACTGAACCCTTCTCTGTTGTCTGCCAAAAAGCACTGTTTATTTTGGACAGGGCAGTGCTGCATCAAATCTGCTGTTTTGGGATCTATGATGAAGATGGAAAGGTCAGTTCTTTCACTACTTTATGAAATAAAAAGAAATCTAAAGTGAGCCACATCTCGCCTGTGGAACCGTTACTGGGGACAATATGGCTTCTTGTCTTCCGTTTTGTCCCCATTAATGGTGCCATAAGTGATTGTGAGTTGAGTTTTGCCCCAGATTTCTTCCCATTTCTTAAGTGGTGAATTCTACATTTTGCAAACAGGTCAATGATGTTGCAGTAGAACTCATCACCAGCCTCCTTCTGGGCCGCCTAAGCATGAGTGGAGAACTGTGGAAGACACTCTTAGATGGACTGGTCGCGTCACTTCCCCAGCTGCAGGGTTCACTGTTGGTTGATCCAGCACTGGACCAGTGCATACTGGAGCTTGTAGCATCAAAGGGTGCCACAGGAGGACATGTCACTGCTGAAGGAGACATCATAACTTTACCAACACTAGAGAGGCTAAGAGGTGCACTGCGGCTTATGTTTGTAAAGGACCCTAAACTGCGCAGCAAGGGCTTGGAATCGGTTGTGTGGCATTTGACAGATGAAGCAAGCAATGAAAAAAGACAAAGTGTGTTTCATGGCATTCACGCAGACAATGCTGCAGATCTATTTATTGTGGATCAACTAACCACTTCTGTTCATGCACACGCTCCAGTATCGCACACAAGCATGGATAAGAGTGAAATTCTTAATCTTCATTCCATATTATCATCTTCGTCCTTGGATGTTGCATTAAGGAAGTCGTCAGCACAGCAGCTGGCCATCATTTTGCAAGGTACGAATAGAAACAATATTTAGAAAAGAAGAATAACAGTGAGAGAAAGTGATTAACAATACCAAATAGGATGTTTACCATGTTGAAACTGCATGACAAAGGAACCATGGGGTTCATTTTGAGGACCCATTTATTGTCATACTTTCTTTAAACATATGAGCCGTGAAAAAAGGTGCCATAAGAGGGCCGTACGCGTCAACGTGATTGGGCCAGGAAACGCGTACGGCTCTACTAGAAATGCTTATGGCCCCCGCAAAATTGATGTTCTCTTCAAAATGAGCGGATGAATGTAGACATTCTGACATCGAATTTTGCAGACGATGCAGGACTATTTCAGTCGCCAACTTACTTCGAAAGCACAGAAAGAAAGTGAACACTCGTCAAAAATGACGACCTTCACAACTTAATCAGAATCCAACAACGAAATTGTCATATGATAAAATGCTTATTGACCGAGTGAGGTATTGGTCAGCAGCACACACGAACCTCGCCTCCCTCGGCCGTACATGTACGTCCTGACCTCTAGCCAAATATTTTCCCGTTCGTACATAATTTTTCTTTCTTACTAATAACTTCAGACAATCAACCTTGAGTGAGTAAAGGAAAATGAGTGTTGCTATAATATGGTGAGGTTATGTTCTTTTTTTGTTTTCTTTTCTTTCTCCCATTTTGTTTTTATTAGACCCTCGATGGCATGAGCCTATGCTACAGGAACATACAGATGAAGTTTGCATGTCCTCTCTTCAAGAAATACTGGATCAGGATGCCCCTCTGCATTCCTCGACCACACCTTGTCCTAGGGTGGAGCTCATACCTCCCTGCCTGACCATTCTGAGGCTGTTAGCAGAGTATAACACTACCTGTAGACACAGGCTAGCAAGAAAAATTTCCACGTACAGTCTGATCACAAGGTAATCTACAGCTCATAAACATACAAAATAATTAAAAATTGGAACATCTTTGACTATTTGTTAATAACAGAGTAGCATTTTTTGCTGCTGTCTTATTGAAAGGACATATCAGTATTGATTAGAGAAAGGAGGAGACAAAATAGTAAAACATTTAAATATGCATACCGTAGTAGTTCAAGGGTACCTCATGGCACTGCGATCTGTGACGTATCTTTAAGTCAAAAGTGCTTCATCTGCAGCTGTAGAATATGGACGTACGTTCACGATTTACCCCGTATTTTAATCTGTTTGCATTTGGCACTTGAGAAGCTGTAAGCTTGGTTTAGAGTTCGAAAACATTAAAACATTTCCCTCACTAACTCTTTACCTTTTTAGCGTACGATTAAAGAAAATGGATCCTCATCAATCCTTATTGCCCCCAGTGGGGTATGGGGCCGCAACGATGTCTCTTTTCCACCGAGTCTTGTCTTTCGCAATTGCCTGTGCCTCTCCACATGAAAAACCCATCTCACTTAGTTCAGTTTCAACTGTCTTTCTCCAGGTGGTTTTGGGTCTCCCCCTTTTTCTTTTGCCTGCGGGTGTCCACCTAAGGGCAACCTTGGGCATTCTCTCTGGCCGCATTGGTAAGACATGTTCCAGGCATCTAAGCCGGCGTTTAAAGAAAATGGACACTTAAACAATTTTATTCTCTTATTAGGTGTTCTCTCTTGTGCCAGCTAAACGGTCAAGTTAAATATGAAGCTTCTTGCCTTATGGTTCTTCTACTCTTTGATGAGGTTGCAGTCGCTCTACCTCATGGTGATAGTGGTATTCCTTTCAGCCTGCCAAAATCCCTCGTTAGAAGGTATGTTTAAGTTAATGATTACAAATTGCTAGGGAGTTCGTCTGTTGAGAAAGACGTTCTTCAGATTGAGTCCCTGAGTTGATTACAGACTTTTTCTTTTTCCATCTGGTCACATTCCGTTTTGCAGAGCAATTGAAGATCTGCTTCAGACATTGTAACTTCAGACATTTTAAAAGACCTACACTTGGTACCAATAACTGAACGTATAAAGTTTAAGATCTTGATCCTTACTTTTAAAGCTTTACATAATTTGTCTCCTTGGTATTTACAAGAATCGATAAGCCACTACCGTCCTTCAAGAACTCTCCGTTCATCTAATCTTTCCGTCTCAACTGCACCAGCTATAACTTGAAGTTTTATGGGCCTAGACCTGGCCACAACTTTGGAACGACTTACCAACATATACGAATATCAGAAAATCAGACAATCTCCATATTTTCAAAACTCCGCTTAAAACTCATTTATTTAAGTAAGTCTTTTTGGAATAATTTTATTGATTCTTGTCTTATTTTAGTTTTTAATAATTATTATATATTAATCATATTTTATAACTTGTGAAGCGCCTAGATAACGCTTGGAAAGGCGCTATATAATAATATTTATTATTATTATTATTATTATTATTATTATTATTATTTATTATTATTATTATTGTGTCTTCAGATACCTGAGGGAAATAAAATCTGACCACTTCTTTCGTCGCACCTTTAGCAGGGCTAGCACTAAGAAAGAAATAACTTAATTCATAGGACTATTCTAAGCTTTTTCTTCGGCACTTCAGATCGGGCAGCTCCGGTTCAGTGCTTTGTCCTTTGTTTGACTACATGTATCACGAGGCTTACGAATCGAGTGATCAATCGCAGCTTAAGCGAAGCACGTTGTCTGAATTAGAACAGTTTGACAAGTCGTGCAGTGCTACCAACGGTATTTTGATTTAGAAAACAGCCCTAAGAAAATACGTGCGCTGATTGGTTAAAAATCGTGTTTCTATTAAACAATTAGATTATTCGCTCTCGATTTCTATCGCGTGATAGTTGACGAGGGCGCAGCCTGAGTCAACTATTGCGCGAGAGAAATCGAGAGCGAATAATCTAATTGTTTTAGTATAAATCTACTAGTCTTTCAAAACTTAATCTAAATCCTCTTCACAAACACTTCGAAAACGCCAAGAAGCGGCCGTCATTTTGTTACCAAGGGCACACTGCTACGCTATTCACTATCTATCACAGAATAGGTAGTGAGTAGCGTAGCCAATCAGAGAACGGTATTCGTGATAGAACGCTAGGAGATTTGTACTAAAACAATTTACGTGACTGTTCATGTAATACTTCCGTTGGACGTAGTTAAAGTGTATTTTCAGAGAATAAACCCTGACCAACCCTAGACATATATTTCAAGTTTGAATTAAGTCTGGCAGCTATTTCACCGTAATTTCATCGTCAGAATTTTGGTCATTCATGAACTAGTACCATACAACTGTGTCACTTTACGATCACATCTACCGTCAGAAGCAGAACATCTGAACTTCATCTGACGCCATCTAAAAATATCAGTTCATTAATGTCGTGAGTGCTGCACATACATTTCATTTCCATTTAGAATATTTGTATAGGTAATCATACGGTTTTTCTCGTTCAATTTGGAATTAATTTGCACGAGTGAGCTTTTTGAAAAACTCACAAGTGCAAATTAATTCCAAATTGAACGAGAAAAACCGTATGATTACTTATTAATAATATATACATGAAACAATTTGCGTGGAGGAAGTGCCGGAAGATCTTTCTTGAAGCCATTTTTTCTCCTTCGAGAAAACTTTTTTCAAAGTTTCCGCACAAAATTAATTTTCGTCATCATTTTACGTAATATCATTGGCTTCGGAAATTTGCTACTGTCTTTAAGCCAATCATAATCCAGAATTACGATGTGTAATTTGTACTGGTGTTACACTTTTTGCACTGGTGTTACACTTGAATTGCATTGCTCTCAGCCAGTCAGAATCGAGTAATTTTTTCATGTANCACGAGTGAGCTTTTTGAAAAACTCACAAGTGCAAATTAATTCCAAATTGAACGAGAAAAACCGTATGATATTAATATTAATAATATAAACATGAAAAAGTTTGCGTGGAGGAAGTGCCGAAAGACCTTCCTTGAAGTCATTTTTTCTCATTCGAGAAAACTTTTTTCAAAGTTTCCACAGAAAATTTTCGTTATCATTTTACGTAATATCATTGGCTCCGAAAATTTCATATTGTCTTTCAGCCAATCATAATCCAGAATTGCGATGTGTAATTTGCACTGGTGTTACACTTTTTGCACCGGTGTTACACTTTTTGTACTGGTGTTTCACTTGAACTGCACTGCTCTCAGCCAATCAGAATCGAGTAATTTTTTCATGCATATTATTAGTTATATAATAATCTTAAAACCTCAAAGGTGGCGCCACTGCATTTGGTCGGGGGTACACAGTCCCTATTGTTCCTAATAAGAGGTTTTGAGGATTTACGTGTCCGGCTTTGGCGCATCTTGGACGTCATTTGATGTATCTTCTATCCACCTTGTTGTAACCTTATATTATTTCAATTAAAACATATCTTGGGCCTGGCTGACCAACGCGCCCATGCCTCATAATGTGTGAGTGTTTTCGGTTGAATCTACACGATCAAAGTGCTCTATGAGCAAACCCGAAATTTTCCAAGTGAGTGATAAATCACATACCCGCTGCGTAATATGGAGTTATTGGATGAAGTCTTTACTGGAAGTATTGAATTGAAGTCTAATTCCACTTAAGCACTAATGTTTTGAAGAAGGAAAATCACTATAAGCCATAACCCAACGTTTCTTTAACTGAAAATAAGGATTCTCTCACAAAAATCTTTTCTCCGGACTTCATATCCACAGCAGTTTACAAAGCAGACACCGTGTTAACAGATGTAAGCCAACCTTTCAGCGACCCTTTCCTAGTCTTCGCATCATCTGCTACAACGTTGCGCGACTTACGCCCAAACAATTGAGATTAACTCTTTCCGTGTCCAGCAAATTAACCGAAAATTTTACACAACTAAACCAAGCTACCATTAACACATATTTTTAGTACAGCACTCACAGTACGTAACACCTTGTTCTGGAGATGTCAAACGATACATGCGCACACAAAACAGCGAAATAGCAGCCTGCGTTGCAAGCGTGAACGGAGAAGGGGTAGGGAGAAAAAAAAAACGGCCCCTTCTTCGTTCTCCCAAGCAGGCTACGAAGAGTGATAGGAGGATTAACAGATGATCGACCAACCCTAATTTACATAATCTGATCCACCATCTGACTAACTGACGGACTGACGGACTGACGACGGACGGACTGACGGACGGACGGACTGACGGACTGACGACTGACGGAGGACGGACGGACTGACCGACGACTGACGGACGGACTGACGGACTGACGACTGACGGAGGACGGACGGACTGACGGACTGACAACCTTGTTCCCAGCACTTTTCCTTTCCAAATTTCAAGGGTAAAGCCCTGGGGAAAAGATTGACGGACTAACGGATTGACGGACTGACTGATGATCTGGCTGGCTGACTAACAGACTGACGGACAGGTGAACCCATGGTCCACCCCACGGACCAAGGACAGACATACTGACGGACTAGTGGACTGATGGATTGAAGCACTAACTGAAGGACTGACGGACAGACGAACCCACGGATAGACATACTAAGGGACTAACGGAATGATGGACAGACGGACCGAAGGACAGACGGACTACCAGACACTCTACTGGTAGATATTTGGCATCTGATTGATTTTGATTTTAACTTTGACTAGAATTTTGATCTCAATTTTGATCTAGAATAGACAAACAATTTCTGAAAACCTTCAACATAAGTTTACTTACTGGTGTCATACAGGATATGAAGTGGTGGACAGTGGGCAACAGTGAAGCTAGAGCAACCCAAACTGTCAAAGCAAATTCAAATGTGCGAGCCCACCATCTCTCATGCTTAAGTGTTCCTTGGCTTTGCTGACTAAGAGACTGACAAACTGGGGACAGGAATAATTCTAGGTATCAAGTATTCTTAATTCTTAAGTGTGTTAATGCAGGTTTTTTTTTCTGAATAAAGAAAAGGGTGTAAGTTATCCAGAAATATAGGTCAGCATCTTCTTGGCCCCAGCCTGTGTAATGTCACCCCCAGACTTAGGCCCCATATATGATATGGTAATGGCCAAAATCACACCCCCTGATTGATCCATTTTTCAAATCACGCTCTCTAATTCAATACCTGATACATCCTTGCTCTTTTCTGAGTTGAAAGTTTGAATTCTCTCAAGACAGGCTAACAGACAGATAGATGCATAGACAGACAGATGCACAAACAGACAGACAGACAGACAGACAGACAGAAACTTGAAACTAAGGGGGTGGGAATGATGACTAAACTTATTTATTTACAAACTGCAAATGTAAATCAATTTCTTTGAGTTTATCAGATCAGCATGCACAGCACAGCTTGAAACTTTTTTCCAGCTTGATTTGAAGGCACCAGACTGATGCCTCTAGTAAAAGACTGAAAGACCAAGCAAGGTTTAAAAAATTTTATTGCATATCAACATGCTGTGATGCATTGCTTAGATTTTAAAATCTACCAATCTACAAAATACTGCTATCCCTTTCTTATTGACAAGACGCCACAAAATCCTGTCTTACCTGACAAAGGACAAGGGACAAGTTGAATTGTGTGCCAACTTTAATTGTGAGTCCATTTGTCTGTGTTATTAAATGATATTTTATCCAAAAATATATAACTCTAAAGAGTGTTTAAATACAATTAATGAAGAAAAACACCCAATATTCAAAGGAGTAAATATTATGAACAAAGAGAATTGCAATGCCCATAGAAAACGTTTGGCTCTATAAATTTTTTGCAAGTTTACTCAGGACTACAAAATGCCCTTATTACAAAGACTAGAAAATGGTGTGTACACAGGAGTCCAAAATCAAACTATTCATTCATTGGTGATTAATTCACACATATGAATGCTTATTTGATTAGCAATCTAGGTACTGTGAATATCACCAACATTTGATAATAACAATGATATTGAATTACAATATCCTCTAAGGTTTGCTAGATAATATTCCCAGCAACAAAAGCTTTGATGTCACAGCAGCCTTTGAGTACTTGTTATCTCTCTGGCCTGTGAAATAAAAAGGCAATAACATAATAATGTACATAACTGGTGTGGACCACGGTGGGGGGGGGGNTACCTTTTAGGGGTTAAAAAAGTGGTTTCGGTACGTCTTAGGGTGTTCAGAGTCAAATTAAAGGTACACTGCAGGAGCTTTTTGGTACATTTTAGGGTATTGAGCCGAAAAAATAGGACAGGAGATAAGGTGATGTTTTATAATTTGTACCTCTTAGAGGCGAAAAAATTTTCAAGCCACACCCACAAAGCAGGATCTTAGTACAGTGTGCCCGTTAGGGGTTCTTTTCAAAATTTCTGACGAGGCCGCCACCCAGGAGTTCCCCCCTGGGAGTTAAACAAGACTGCTCTGCCCTTTACAGTCTAATAGTCAATTGTTAACAACGGACAATGGGGTTTTAGCTTGATAATATACCTGCAAGAATTTCATCATGATGATTGGCTGAGAGCAAGTCAATTAATCCCAAACAGTGCAGAAATTAAAGTTGAAATTGACTGCAAAAAGTTGAAATTGAGTGCAGAAAGCTGAAATGAAATTGCATGTATACTAATAACAAGTAATCAAATAATTTTTTTCTCATGCAATTTGCAGGAGGGAGTAGAAGGAGGGAGTGTAGGGGTGGAAGCCACCTGGGCCAATGGCCGAGGTCATTTCCAACATTCTCCCTTAGTGCATTTGGAGGTTTAAATATAGGTGAATCCCATAGGAAGATTCAGGTACCTGGGTGAAAATTATTGTGAAACAAATCCAAACATGTTTTTGGTTCAAGTTATTGGGAGGTTTGAGAAATCAAGGTTCAGATAAATAATTGGGATTCCAGTGTATGATAAGCAGAGAAAAGGCGCTCCAATGAGTACAACTGCATACACATGACCTATGCAATGGTGTATGAAAATCCTAGGTTTGCTGTTTAGCAACCCAAGCCTCAGGAGTCTTTGTGTTGAAGCAGACATTAAGCTGGGTGAAGGTGGCTGGTCTGGGAAATGGCAACTGAAGGTGAAGGTAAAGTCTGCATACAAGCCAAGTGGCCCATCAGGCCAGCACTTATCATGGTTTCTGTAGCATGAAGTGACTAGGAGTATTTCTACTCCTCCCTGGATGGGATGCTAGTCCACTGAATGTTTATCCCCCAAGCATGAAGCTTGCTGGCACCCATTTATACAACTGGGTGGAGAGAGGCACTGTGAAGGTATTTATTTTAATAAGTGTCTTGCCCAAGAACACAATGCAAAAAAAACTCACAAGTGCAAATTAATTCCAAATTGAACGAGAAAAACCGTATGATTACTTATTAATAATATATACATGAAACAATTTGCGTGGAGGAAGTGCCGGAAGATCTTTCTTGAAGCCATTTTTTCTCCTTCGAGAAAACTTTTTTCAAAGTTTCCGCACAAAATTAATTTTCGTCATCATTTTACGTAATATCATTGGCTTCGGAAATTTGCTACTGTCTTTAAGCCAATCATAATCCAGAATTACGATGTGTAATTTGTACTGGTGTTACACTTTTTGCACTGGTGTTACACTTGAATTGCATTGCTCTCAGCCAGTCAGAATCGAGTAATTTTTTCATGTACATTATTAGTTCTGTTATGTTATTGTAGATATATTTTCCTTTTCTCTCTGTTTTGGCAGATTCCAGTTGCCATTCTCTCCTCCTGTCCACACCCCTGTTAGTGTTCACCAAGTCCCAGGCCTTCAGGAGAAAGACACGCTGACTTCAGAACCAGCTGTTTCTAGGTTAAGGTTGGCCTGGAACCTAGGCTGGCATGAGAATATCGAAAACCTGTCAAAAGTAAAGGGAGTGGAGGATATATCTCAATCCGATAAGGACATAGGGTGGGACACTTAATGTGACATTTATAATTACATTATTGCTAAGAAAAAATGGCATCTGTTAATGTTTGGCAGAAGACGCCTTCTTCTGATTTTTTCTTTTTTGATGACATCATTGTTTAAAATGCCGGTGACCAGCTTCAAGAGAGAAGTACCATTTCATCATCGATTTTTTTTTTCTAGCGCAAGCGTTTCACGTTTGCAGCATTTATTGGTCGTAACTTTTGAAAGATTGCGCTTTGCTTTTTATGCAGTTAAGTGCAATTTAACGGAGTGAACAACAAAGAGCGCCTGCGTTCCCGTTGTAGAACGCGGTGTTTTTGATTTGTGCATGCACCAGGATTCCATCTGCTCTTGGACTGAGACTGAGACAGCGACAGCGTTTACAATGAGCGTTGTTTTGCATGGGAGCACGTCTTCAAGCATTCCCCTTCCATTCCCTCCCGCTTTGCACTCTTAATTCAGTGTGGTGGGTGCCTGTCTTCCCTTCCTCTAGGGGGCTCATGGCTGGGTTGCCAGGATTTGCCAGCCATGGGAGTGGTCTTCATCTAGGAGCTGGCTGCCAGTAGTGGAAGCTCCTGGATGTCTCAGGCACCCAACCTCCATTTCAGCGATATAGTTGTTGTTGTTGTTTTTTTTTATGGGGGATCGTCCCTTGCATAAATCTGAAAAAGGGTTATCTAAATGTACCCAAGGAAAAACATGAACAATGGGTAAAATGTCCGCGCGTATTATATGTTAAACCATCGAATAAGGGAATTATGTTTCCACTATTTTGTCATTTTCTAACATTTTGGCTTCTTGCTTTTGCGCGTTTTTTGACCTAATATGGTAAAAAAGCGCAACAGTGACAGCGCAACGTCAGTAACAGCGATGGGTGAAAAGAAGCTGTTACCACGAGAGCAGGCTTAGGATCATCTATAAGACATACGAAGTAAAAATAATCTATAATCATTGCTTTCTTCAGGTACTGGGGAGCGTTGCAGTGGAGAACTCTTGACGCTGAACTGCTCAGCTGTAGCCACATCACCATAGCACTTACTAATCAACTGCTGTGCATGGAGTCAGCAGGCTCACACTATGACGTGAAGGTGGCCCTTACTAACATTATGGCGCACCTGTTGGCTGATAAGGGTCCAGCGATACCTGCTGTAAAACAAAGGCTTGCTGTGGAGGTGTTGTACACTTTGAAATGGGAAAACGCTTTTGAAAGGTAACTTCATGACTATGCCAAAACTCTGCAGTTGGTCTAATAGATGTGCAAGCATAACGACCTTTCAAGGTTCTGTTTTCTGTTTTCAAAATTTCATGCAAACAAGATTACATTTCGGTCTGTGCTGAAACATGAGTTTCGAATTGTTCAATTGCCAAACTGTACACATTACCATAATGCATTTTTTTTTTTTTTGCTATTAGTTGCCTTTGTTGTGTGTTTTGTTTCAGTTGGTGTCTACGGTTGGTTAATTTTGTTTAAGATTCTGGCCTTTTCATAGGTTTAGTTTCCATTACATTAGCATATATTGTTCCCAACACTCCATTCCTCGCTGGGGAAAGGACAGAAAGGCCTAGGCCAACTTTTCCCACCAACTCCTAGAGAAGTCGCCTGTTTTCCCAAATTATGGTAATCAAACTTTATTTTGATTAGAGTACTTCAGTTGTAGTCTTTTTTGACTACTCTGGCTCATCTTTATGTTGTGACATATTTGCTATAAGGGTGCCCGAATGCTTTCTCCACATAACACTATAGATATCTTCAAGTGGTGCCAAATAGCAGTGATGATGACAGCTTACTCATAGAGCTGCTTAAAGTGTTGGACATGATCCTCTCCAGTCCCCGTCAACCTCCAGAGCCTGTGGTGGCCTGGGTAGCAAGGGCTGTGTTGCAAAGAGATGGACCTCAGATGACTATGCTGAGAAACGTCCAAGCTACTGCGGGTTCACAAACTGTTTCTGAATCAAAGAGGTGGGTACTGCAGCTGTTACAACACAGCCATGTGTGATCTGTAAGGGTTAGCAGCAAGTTTCGTAAGTGACCAGCAGAACTGTTCAATATTTTTTTTACCTTCAAGCGAGAGTACTGGCTGTGTAGCCAAAATATGTCGAGATGCTGAAAAGAGCACTCCACAATTAGTAAAAGAGCGACATTTACGATGTTAATCTTGGAAAATCCTGATGTTATACCTTTGCAAAGTCGGCAAGTTTGTAACCCCAGCATACAAACGTCTGCGACGTTCCCAAACTTTTTAGAACCATAAATTCACTGTTGCGGATGGTATGAATCTCAAACACGACCATTTCACTAATTTTAAAGTGCGTTTTCACCCTTTGCGACAGAGTTTGCTCTATAGCCAATATCTGACGTTGAGAAAAGCAGTTCGTATAGAGTGATCGTCCAGGTGAGGGTAGTTCCGAAAAGAACTGTTGTTGGTGACTGACTTTCGACAACCTCAAGTTTGTCATGATTGCTGACAAACTTAATACGAGTCTTACAGCCAATACCATCATGGCTAAATTGACCAATAACTTTCAACGGACTGACTTATAACACCATCGACTGACAAACACTATTCACTTGACTCTGAAGATGATTTGTCGAAACGTGGATCACCGACAACAGTTCTTTTCAGAGCTACCCTCACCTGGATGATCACGCTATATGAACCACTGATATTCCTGGGTTCAAACCAGTTACTATGTTGACAAAAGCTGAAGACGGTTCATCTTTTGCGTGGCAAATTATAACAAAACGTGGCGCTTCAAAAAAGCTTCGCAATAAAAGAAAAGTGCATACTAAAATCAGCAAGTGGTGAGAATTTGTTAGCAAACTGGAAAATGCCATCGAGTAATGCATGGCTTGTGGGTGGGGTTTTATGGCTTGTGTCTCGGATCTAGATCGACTTTCTTCTGCTTTTACTGTCAGTGTTCATCTCACTATTTCCGAACTTGTTAACAGGGCAATCGCTTGAGCTTGATCAATGTTTAGAGAACAGTCCGTTCAATGGTTCGTGGGGGGATTACATGCAACATCGTTTAGCTATAAGTCAAAGTCGAGGTAATTACCGACGAATGTTTACCTTCTATCATTTCTTACCGAACAAAATTCCGTTTACAGAGCACTTCGCAAGCATCTCCTTTCTTTCCTGGTCACTTTGGTCAAGAGCCTGTCCCGGTATACCAAGGCCTGGAGACTGGATAAAGAAAGGATATTTATCGGAGACCTGGCTTATGCCTTGGCCCTGAATCTTGACTTAGCAGATAACCCACAGTTTTATGATCTCGCTGTGCTTGAGACGTCATTGGTCTGTTTGGCTCACATCACTGCGCAGCCACATTGGAGCTCATACTGTAAATTTTCACAAGGCATGAGTCTGTGCATACAGCTGATGACATCTTTGGTGCAGGTACGTTTTTTACTTTAAGTTTTAACTTGTACCCATCAGAAGTGTTAAAATGGGTTTACATTTGTTTGCCTGGTGTTGTGATCCGGGGAATTTCCAGCCTATTGTAGTCCCAGGCGCTGCGTTGTGTCTTGTCCTCACCCTCACAGAACCTTTCTGTACCCAAATGTATTAATGAATATAGTTGGTACTTGCAAATTCTTGGAGGAAATCTGGCAAACAAAGGTTAACCAGAGATGGACTAGCATCCTGTCTTCTATGGGGAGTAGGGTAGAGACTGATGATAACTGATTAGTGATTCTAGACGTCAAACAAGATCCCGAGGAAACTGACCAATCTACTGATCATCGACTTTTTGTCTTGTCTCTGAAGATGACGTGAACTCTAGTTGTCGAACCTTTCTTTACCAATTATTCTAAAACCCACTCTTACCCAGATGATCACACTGGAGCACTACTGATCTTCCTGCGTTGAATCCCACCCACAGTGAAGTGCCACCCTTTACAACCTGGCATTGACGCATAATTTTCAACTCTTGAAACACAACTGTAATATGTTTCAACCTTAGGTGGTTCTGGCCTTCCATGCCGGCAGGCTTGGTGCTAGTTTATCGTTTATGGGTAAAGGTGTCACATATTATTCCAGTCTCTGTCTTGTGCACCTCACACACGAGATGTCTGCCATTGATCCAGGGCAGGTAACACATCATAGCTTAATGTGACTAATTTATCAAATTGTGTATAGAAACGAGATTGCAGGTATAGGTATTCGCCTCTCGGATTGGATGACTTATTTTTATCCTTGAATCAAATGAGGTAATTGTTTTCAAAATTTAAGCCTGTTAATCTCGATTTTCTCTTTGATACCAGACTTGGATGGTTTGTTGTCTGATTCTCGAAGAAACCCAGCTTTGAAACGATGTTTTGATAGCGTGCTAATATAAGCGTTGAAGAAGATAAAAAAGTAAAAAAAAACAAAAACATGAACAGTAATTGTGCTAACCAAGACAGCTTCAGAAAGATTCGGAGTGTCTATTTTCCACATTGTGTGCCCCAGATATATTAATTCGATGTTTCAGAGAATTGTATTTGTGTTTAAAAAAATTCTTGAAATGTCTTTTCTATGAGAGGAGGGTTAAGGTACATTTCGTGTTCTCTTAGGCTTGGGTCTCACACTGGTTACGAAGTCAAGATCCCCAGGAAGAGCCCTTACCTTGGCTGGTACCTTTGTTGACAGACCGCTGGCCTGATGTCCGCTGGATTGGTCTTTGTATGTGCACTAGCCTTGCTGACAGCGAGCAGGGCCGAAGAGAACTAGAGAAGGCTGGAGAGAAGTTTGTAGGGGGCTTATGGAGCTTTGTCTTCACCATTCTGTTAGATGACGTGGAATGTGGTTTTGTTCGGCAACAGGTTAGTCTCATTGCAGTTTAGCAGTGGGTCAGTTATAAAGAGATTCTAGTCTTGTTGTGGCCTTGCGCATTACTCTGCCTTCAACTTTGCAGTACCCATAGAGGTTAAAGATCTCTTTTCACAAATGGAAACAGTATCTTCAATTCTAACACATAGCGCGTAGAAGTTTGAGAGCTCGTTAAGAAATGTCAGTTGTGAAAAAAACAAAACAAAACGAAACGAAAACAACTGCAGGAATATGTGGTTCTGTCTAGATATCGTTTCTGGCTACTTTATGTTTTAGCCTGATACTTAAGCCTTATGAAGCTAAGAAGTATTGTCCACAAATCAAGCTGTAAAAGCTAAGCTCGGAGCGAGAAAAATGTCTGCAATGCTCAAAGTACAGTGCGAACAATGGGAAGAATTTTAAAAAACTCTACGCAAGAAGCGCTCAAAATTATTGACTCCATCTGCTCCCAAGTTCAAGGTTTTTCTTCACTGTTGTCACTAATGCTCTCCCGGAATGTCAGTGACTTACAGATGATGCAGATGGATCCTTTTAAGGAATGGATTTTACGGAATAATATATTTTAGTCTGGTATATACGAATTTCTTGTAGGCGGCTCTACTATTATGCAGTTTGACCAGTGGACTGTCACCTAACATGGATACCTCAGAGTCACAACCATCAGGTCAACTTAAGGTAGAGACATCCATTTATGAAAGAGATGTTGTTCTTCTTTCATCAGCTTAGCAAGGCTAGCTAGAAAGGTTCATCTTCTCTGGTTTCTGTGATCATTTTTGGCCTGGCAAACCTAGCAAGTGAATACAACTTTCTCAGCATAGTTCTATGTTTAACCTACTTTTAGACGCCTGTTGTGAAGCTGCTGCTGTGGTGTAGCTTTCAGATTACAGAGGAACGGAAGTTCCCTAACATGAACAAATTACGGTATTCGACAACATTAAAAAAAGTGCAGACCGCATTACAAATGAAAATCACCATGACGGCTATCTTGATTAAGGATAACTACCTTGGAGCGTTAAAAGTACTGAAGCTAGACAACACTGTTGGTAAACGCCCTAGTAACCAGACAGAGACGCTTTGGTTGGCAAAATGTTCTCTTTAATATAACCCGTTTCTTATTGTTTCTTTTCAGAACACCTCCAAAGGCCTCCAAGATCTCCTTTCCCTTCTTGAACACTTCAAGTTTTTCCCCAAGGTCTCAACCATGCTCACAACCAGTGCCCTTCCATTGATGGTCGCACGAGGAACATCCAGGGCCTGCCAAAGCTCTGCTTCTGTGTCCTTCTCATCAGGCACTGATACAGACATTCCATACAAGCCCCTTGGGTCAACGTCCCAGTCCCAGTCAGGTAGTGTGAGCTCGGAGGCTCAGACCGTAGTGACAGAATCTGCTAATGGTAAAGCAAGCCCTGGGGTGTTCTCTGTGGCGTCACACACCTCAAGTACAGTGCTATCAGGGGTGTCATCGTCTGCACCCGAAACACAGCTGTCAAGAACTCCCACTTCATTGGTTCCCTTAATCAACGAGAGAGGTCTTCCAAGTGGGTAGGTTCCAGTCTCCTCATACGTGTTAACTGATTTTTAGGTAGAGTTGGTGGAAGTGAAAGGCTATGAAATCCGGGAAGATTCCAGCATTTATGTTAGAAAGTCCACGACCGTGCAAAATCTTTTGTTTTGCACTCATACGCTATCATGGATTACGTAACTGAAACGTTTCTGTTGGTTAGTTGCTCAGACAGAAGTAATCCCCTAGCGTTTTTTGTGCACGGTCAAGGCCAAGAAAGCGAATAAAAAACACACAAGAAAGAACTTTCTCGGGCTCCATAACCACTGTCTATTACTCTTAAGAACGGTTTTGGCTGATTATCATGTTTGGTGTGAAGCGAGTGCTGTTGCAACAACATAACTGAACTAGATCGCAACTGTGTTTGTAGCAATAATACGATAACAGATGTGTTATTCCCAACGTTTCTTCCTCTATGCTCCCGTGTTATGCTCAAACTCGACACATATTTATTACTATAGTCCGGTACAGTTTTTATGACACTTTTTATGATCACACAGTTACGTATATTTGCATATTTCCTAGTTTTAACGTTTGTTTCCTCGTGAGTAACTGACGTTTTGTAAACTTGTGGAGACTCTAGGGAACTGTTGGTTTTTGACTTCTGTCCATTTAAGTTTCTAACTAATCTGCTTGTCCTTCAGTATTCGCTCATCGAGACCTCAGACTTGTAGTTTGATTTCTAGTTACACGAACTAGTTGATCACGTATTAAGAAGAGAATGTTCTGCTTTTCTTTTTCTTTAGCATGTCGAGTGCAAGTAGCAGTAGTGATGTTAGTAGCACAGTCAGCTCAGTGGCACCATCAGGGGCCTCGTCGGCCTCTGTGAGGTCCTCAGTGACACCGGGTCTTATTGGTGCCACGGCAAGGCTCATGAACAACTTAGTGCTCCTGGCACCTGGTAACGCTATTTCAGCTCTGAACAAGGCCCAGATCCTGAGCAGTATCAACAAGTGAGTTTGAGCACCGAGGGAGGAACTTATTTAACATATTACTATATTTCCTCGTGATTCAATCGAGACAAGTTCAACATTAAATCATGCAAATCATGTATTCATGTAAAAAACAACGGATTCCTCATGTTTTCTGGCCTCAAGGCACCAAGTTGCCAAATTATAGCTCTAATTAATACTAATTAATACTAATTTACATCATAAGCGTGCAGATTTCGCACATATAATACAAAGGCTAGACTATTGTTTAAATTCAATTTTGCAGTTAAAGTTGCGTTTCTTTGGACAAATCCGAAATGGGATTCTCAAATTCAAAAACGGATTTTGCGTTTCTTAACTAAACAAATTAATCCAAGGTCACTCGGATCATGGTGCATTGAGGAACCGAAGAATCCTTGCCTAGAGTGGAATACGAATAATCGGAGTGTTTTTGTGTCTATTCATTTCTGTACAGCCATGTTGAATGCTCCGAGGTTCAAAGCTACCTCTGTGGAGAAGCCTCACTGCCATTACCACGTGCATCCGCTGTGGTGATCCGAGAGATACTCTCCATGTACAACGATATCTTAGCTTTCCTTCACTCCGTGGTAAAACTGAATACCATATTCTGCTTCAATTTGTTACAAGACCAGGAGGCTCTGGACAGGAGTGTGTTACTGTTTTCACTTCGTACTTTTTCTGCAGGTAGGGTGGTCATTCGGATAAGAACTGTCGTGTAAGCATTAACTTGACTTTTCACAGAAGCGTTTCTCATTCTTTGTGATTTTCTAGTTGTCTATCTAGTGCTTCTCAGCAGCCGCATTAAGTGTTATGTTATACCTCCCAACACAAAAACAGAACAAACTGCGAAAACATATGTGCCTGACACCGGCTGGCACACAACTTTGCCGCGGTTTCAGCGGGTTGCACGACCTGATCATGTGCGAGTCGAAATTCAACTTGTTGTTTCCCTGGGAGTAAGTGAGTTTTGACCCATGACACGTGACACGTTCTCTTCCAATCGGAAAACGTATTTGAGTTGGCAGGTATAACAAATCTCCTCTTCCCCCCTCCCCCCTCCCCCGTAAGAGGGCATTATAATTGTAGACAAGGCACCTTGTTTCGCATTTTTTTCCTGAAGTATTTCTGCTCAACGTCGGCTGGGACAACACACTACTAAATGAATACTTAGCATGTTGGAGAGATGCAAGCACTGGCCGTGTTATTACGTTATTTTCAAATTAGTAAGACACTTTTCTCTCACAGTGCTTTTCTCCACTCCGGAATATTACTGGATAACGTCTATTGTTATCTGGGGGAAATCAAATGCCGGGGAGTGTCACCTGCAATGGGAAAACCTCCCATCTAGGGATTTTATAACAATAGCATCACATTATATGACTTGTATCTTTTAAATCTTAGATGAAACCCTTCAGAATAGTGTCTGCGCTGTTCGGGAGACTGTCGCTAAACTGCTAGTAGCACTGCTGCAGAATCAAGGCCAGCTCTCAGTTCCTAGTGTTGTTGAAGAGACTTTGTTCACTCATTGGAGTATATTTACGAGTAAGTTATTTTAATTTAAGATTCTGTCTATATGCTATTTCATAGCCACTTAGGGCCACCATTCTCCGTCAGCTTAGTAGCTGTACCTTCCCCCTGGTGTTACGGAAGGAAGATCATGAGTTTATGTCTCTCAAGGGACCAGTTTGTCACGAACTCCCTCAGTTCGTGACAAACTGATTACAGTTACTATCGCATTTCTTTGGGGGGGGNCTATCGCATTTCTTTAGGGGGGAGGGGTTACCTTTTTTTGTTTCGTCGCTTGTTTCGTTGATTGAATCAATCGCTTTGGGTAAAATTGTTTTAGAATCATCTCATTCATCAATGCAAAGGGAAACCAATTACTGACAGAGTCATTTTGCCCTTTTTAGGCGTCTTCAAAAACTCCCTCAAAGAAGGCAAATCCCCGTCCCTCTCCTCCCTTAGGATGTTACTTCTCAAGCTGCTTGGTCTCCTTCTAACTGTCGAGGGCAAACGTAGCCCCAAAGGGAGAGGCCCTAGGGAAATAAATTGTGATGAACCCTCGACAAGAAATCGTTTGACTCGCTTACTTGACAGTAATGATGGCTGTGAAAATGGAGTAGACTTTGTGGAGAGTATCGGAAAGAAAAAGGGACAAAGTGGCGTGAACAGCACGGGTTCGTCTGCAAACACTGAAGCTTCTGGAAGTGAACTTTGTGGCGTTTTGCTGGGTGTTTACGACTGTACTCCGTCGCGACAGAGTTCAGAAGTCCAGGACGAGGAGCAATCGCTAGTGTCTGCAGTCTTGAGTTCTTTACTGGCCCTCAGTCATGCAGCTAAGTCTAAAGCTTTACAAGGTGAAGATGGGATCCCCATTTTAATTCATTCTTCTTAGCATTGTCTTAGAATGACTGTGTCGTGTAATGGCCAATTCAATTCTGTGTACGAGACTTGCCTGCGGGGAATTATGGGAGTTGTATACAACAGAACAAATATCCAGTCCAAGATGATGAATACAACTACCATGATTCCCTGCAGGCACATCTCAGAGAGGGAATTTGCCATTCTGTGTTTGCTCTGGTTTTGTATTTGTCGCTCTTAGTTCTACTGGTTAATAAAACTCGTGAGTTCTATTGGTTTTATGAAGCTCTTGAACTCTATTGGTTAATGAAGCTCGTGCGACATTCTGTGACCAATCAGTGGAGGCGTACTTTTTATTTTAAGCCAATCAGGAGCAATCAAAACCCCGTTTATGTCGAAAGCGAGTTCTCCCTCGCTTTGCAGTTAATACCGGTTGTGCTGAGTTTGTGTAAGTTAGTTCCGTTCTTTATTTGTTTCCAATTAGGCCAGAGGACGTGACTTGTTTGTTTTATTTTAAGACAGTCGTGTTACAACCCAAAGATCTCAACCGGGGCCACCTGAGAGTTTTCAACCAATCACAGCACAAGGTTGAATTGTGAGAATTATTTGTAATCTGACCAGTCATGCTGGAGTAGTACGACTGTTAGCCTTTGGAATTTTCTGTCGACTTGAACAGCAAGCAAACAAGTGTGGCTCAGGTGGCTTTGATTATAGTCCTAGTACTGTAAAATCGCTCTAACTACCAATGTTGTTTCTTTAGCTGGTCTTGTGGAAACTGCTCTGGAACATATAAAGCATCTTCATGCACAGATGAACATGAACTCACTCCAACTTGGAAAAGGACCCTCTTGGAAAAGGAAGGTAAGAAAAACTGCAGGACGAGTTCATAGCTTGAAATATCTTGGGTAGTTGATATCAATTTTAAGCCCTGTCCAAACGGGAAATGTTCGGCGACCACGATTTTGTGGTGACCAAACATGCTAATTTTTCACTGAGTGGCTAAACGGTTTCAAACATCTATGAACGAACAAAATGTGTTACAATGTTTGATCAAATGTTTGACGTCGTTTAAATTTTATCAAACTCGATCCAACAAGGTGTCCAAACGGGAAAATGTTTGGTCACCAAACAATGTTTGATCCTGTTTGATCACCAAACAATTCCCGTTTGGACAAGGCCTAGCTTTAGACATTTGACGAATATAGCGGTGTGTTGTACTCGTGCAGATGTTTTACAATTAAGCAAACAAACAAACAAGCAAATAAACGAACAGAAACCATATTAAAACTTAACGGATTATCTTTTTGCAGGAAGATCCGTCCATGATTGAACTCATTAAAGTACTACAGCTGCTGAGAAATTTTATTTACTGTAGTGCACCAGTCAAGGTAAATACAATTTACAAAACACCTTTTTTGAAAAGCGTAAGAATCTTTACCTTAAAGTTGCGTCAGTCAATGCTTGTTAATACCCACCTCATAAAGAAATAGCTCGAGCCTTGATATTCCACTTTGCAGAGATGAGGGATCTAAGGAATCAATCCGCAGGTTGTTAAGTCGATATGTCGGAAGCTAACAGTAGCTGAAATAAATTACTGCAATAATTATTGAGCAGTGAACCACTGAGAGAGAGTCTGGCTGGGGGTGTTGTGCGTAATGCTACAGAACCAGAACAAGCTCCTGCGGAGTGCGTCACTCGGCCCGACCCAGAATTAACATTACAAAATTCTCAAAACTAAGAGTTAGTAATCAGCCAGGAGATTTATTAGGGACCTCCTGGGGCTGACCCCCTTGATCCATTGAAAATGTTACTTTTTCACCTTTGATCTCTATTAATACATTCCATTATTCTCTAAAATGTTTTGTCAAAGTTCCCTTAAATAGTAGAGATATCCCTAGTACCCTCGAATTAATCCCACAATATCCCTTGTTCCATTGAAATAAATGATGACGTTCCTTTATTCCCCAAATCAACCGAGATGTCCTCATCAATAGCGCCTTTGACCTAGCTAGGAACTATAAATAAAATAATAAAATGTAAAAAATTAAGTGTCAAATGTATTTAGCACTATTAAATGTGCTAATTGGGGACTCTAAATAAATAAACAAATGGACTGATCATTAATACTGTTAGCTAGTGAAAACTAAAGGTGTTCTGTTTGTTTGTTTGGACTATAGGCGGCCTGTTTGGAGTGCGGCATTGTTGATGTGCTTCACAAGCTCTGGTCGTGGTGCACTGTGGAGGTACCACTTCTTATTGAGGTCTTACGTCTCTTGTCAACGTTAACGGCACAGTTCTCCAAAGGTGGGTAGCTCTGTTATTGGCAGTTTCTTCAGACGTGTCCAGCATGCTTTATCAACTGATTCCATTGACTTAGACATTTCTTTGTAACTACCAATACCCGACAGCATGCTATTGTTCGTTCCGTCAACAAAATAATCGTTTTCCTTCCCTTTGCCTGTCTCAATTAATAACATGAAAAGAGTGACGTTATTCGAGTCGGTGAATTTAGCGCTGCTGTGCTAGATGTGGTCGATGCTTATGAAGAAACAAAATTGCAAATTGAGGCTCCTGCTTCCTATCAAAGTACCGGTGAGAGCGCTTGTTTCCTACCAATGTGGCGAAGTCTGGATTCCTACATGTCCGGTGTCATACGTGGGTTGACGTTTTTTGGTTCTCTTCTCGGCTAAAACGTTTTTGCTCCGAGTCCTTTTCTCTTTCACAAACTTAAAACGACCATTTCTAAATTCTAATCCTGTCGTTAATCCGAGGATCACAGCCTTGTCCGTTGTAAGATTGTTATGTGCTCCACTAGTTAAGCAAAGTTGGTATACCGCGACAAAGCTAGTGGCAGAGGATTAGCCCGGGTACATCCGCACCGTCCCCTCAAAAATAAAATGGGGAGAAAATTCTTCACCCCGATTTTTTGAGGGGAGGGGCCGATGTACACAGGCTAGATAGAGGATCTGTATCAATCTCTTGTATTCTTTGTTTTCCCAGCATCAGCGTTTATCGCAGGCAGCTCTGGTGTTCCAGGGAATGTCAGCCGTGCAGTTCAGAGCGGGAGTACCTTTCTTCACAGCCTGATAAAGCTTAGTAACAAGACAAACAGCAAGCTTCAGAACAGCTCCGGTAGTGAACTGGACTCGCACCTGTCAGTACTGAAGGCCATGTTTAATCTGTTGAGTAACCTGGCCTTGAGCGCCGAATGCAGAGGAGTCATGTGGAAGGTGGGTGGCCTGGGCATAAGTCACATAGGTCACGTGCTTGAGAGTATATTAGTTTTCTTTGAGGCCGTTTCTGGGCGGCGTCACGAAAGTCCTCCCTGGCTTTCGGCTACCAAAGAGAAACATTACGCGCTGATTGCAAAGAAGTAACGCGGAAGACACTTCTCAATTTAATTTTGTGGCATTTTCAAATGAGCTGTGATATTACTCCACACCTGTTGCATCCGAGCTTTGAAAGAGTGTTACTGTGAAAGTCAGAAAACCGTGAACACCAGAGATATTTATGGTGTGTTATTTTGTAGAAGAAAACGCCGGTTTTTAATTAGGCATGAGAAAGCTACGCCGCAAATAAGATGCGCAACGGTGATTAATTTGTGGTTTTGAGGTTTGCTCGCGTGTCGTGAACTTTATTGTCATTGGTCAGTACGCAATTGACCTGTTAGCATCAAATCAAACTGTTCACGGTTCTTTGAGTTTCAAAGTAAGTGCGAATCTTAGTAAGGGAATCATATGCAGCTCAAAGCGTTAATCATATTGTTTTCTTTATCTAACCCTGTAGACAAACTTTCTCCAGTCCTTCTCGTCGTTGAAGCCTCTTAAAAGCAGCGCCCATCTCAAACATAGGTCGATAACCCGTGGCGTGACACTGTGCTGGCTTAACTTACTGGTTAACGTGACATTCTTCACGGATGGCCAACAAGGCGTGGTCAAGACTCCTGGGGCAGTGGAGGTGTTGTTAGAGCTGAGCGGAGCTCAGAACAAGCAACTACAGGAGAAGGCTCTTCTTGTTCTGAGGAATTTGTGCTTCCATGGGGCTAGCAGACCTGTTCTTTTGGTGAATGGTGAGTGAACAGACGAAAAAGTTTGTTTCTGGGGATAAAGATGCGTGATTTTCAATCTTTCCGTGTGAATTTGACCGAGAACAAAGGGCCTTCTGCGCGATGACTTTCGTGATCGAAAACTCAAGACTTTGACGCTTTTCCGAAGATTTGCTAAAGAAATCACTTGTCCCCCGTATCTTTTAAGACAGGGACAATTACAAAGAGGTAGTGGCAACTTGAAACTGTATCAACAGTAAGCAGAACCGGCTTCTTTCTATTGTGTCCTCGTTGCGTTTTGAGATGACTTTTTTCCGCAATGTTAAACTAATCCCTTGATCTTTTCTTTTTGCAGAGAAACTCCTTTCTCTTCTTGTGGATTTTACCACTGACAGTTCTGTTTATCTCAGAGCATTGTGTCTCTCAGCCTTGTGCTCACTNTTTTTTTTTTTTTTTTTTTTGTATTGTTTTCCTTATACTCAAGTTTTAAGGTAATCACAATTCGCTGAGCATTGCAGTCGAAAAGGAGGGGCCTTTTGTTATCGGGGAGGGAGAGGAAGGGGGGGGGGGGATTCAAGGTTCTGGTTGCTTACCGTCATGACTAAATTTCCGTAAATTTCATTTGCGAATTTTCTTTTGGGAAGATCATGTTGCATTTCAAATTTCCCCAAGGAAACCTCCATTTTGGTCAAGGAGTGAGACCGTGAAAGCCAAAATGCTTAGAACTGGTGCAAACTGTCCAAAACGAGAATTGACATTCGGAACGGCCCAGCGGAAAAACGGGACTGCCTTTTCAGAAGTTTCGTTTTTCCCAGAAAGTTTCCAGCGGACTGAACTGATTTATCGCACATTAAGGCGTCACAGGTTCATTTAAAAGTAATCAGTTAACCAATTTTGTGCATCGATTGAGTTTAAAATTCACCAGTTTTTTTGAACAGGACTTAATCTTTCTTTTGTGCAATTCTGCAACTCGAGATGATAGATAAACAGTCATAGGAATTTTCCTGTAATAAGTGATGTTCGATCGTCTACATTGTGTGACAACTAAAATGTCTCAAATCAGTTGATTTTTTCCCTGAATTTTTGGTAATAGGCCAAAGTGTCACTGAAGAAGACAGGGATACTGAAGAAACTCGACGAAATAAAATTGTTGCCAGGCAAGTTACATTTGGTCTTTTCTTTTGGTTTTACTTTAGTGAATCAAGAGTAAAAATGAATGATATCCTAAAGAATATGACAGGGGACAAATGAATGAAATCAGCGAATAAATCTATTGTAGTTAGCTTTGGTTAGAGAGAATTATCTGAGAACAAGAAAATAGCGAAAGAAATAGCGAGAGTAAGATTGGAGAGACACGACGGAGTAGTCCGAGTGGCTTTTTGGTGGGATTTCGCAGGTAAGTGCATGGCGGCACCGCTGCGCGGGTAATCCCGCCGTCTACTTATGAGGAGGGAATATTTCTCCTGAAGAATGCAAAATAAACTTTCCAAACAATGCAGAAGAGGCTCGTTCAGCACCTCTGAGATAACGTGTTAGAAAAGAGGGTCCCATCTTGTTTGTCCATTAGTGCCGACATTGTTATCTACTAAAGCCCTTCCCTTGGAAGTCTTCAAGCCGCACCCTTCTATTGAAAGAATGACCAAACTGGGAACACCGAAAACCGAACCAAATAAAACAAGACCATTTATCAATTTTTCTGCATCGGTTGTTTTATTTCAGGATGTGAACAACCCGACGCGCTGGATAAATACAGCAAAATGTGCCGAGAGAGTATCAACACCTTACAGAAAATGTTTTCAGACCAAAGATGACATTGACATCAACAGAAGTTTATAAGAAAATATTATATATTTCGCACAATATTTATTCGCCATGTATACAAGTATTTAGTGTTTCTGGTCAGACACGAGTTGGTATGTGCTCTCCAAAAACCTGCACCTTAGGGACTGTCTTGAGCCCTGGGGCCCGTTTTTCGAAGGTCCCGAAAAGTTTTCGCACCCGGAAAGCCATAGCAAAATCTCGAAGCTTATGATTACCGGGCTGTTTTATTCGCGTATTTTCAATATAAACAGAGGTTCCCTTCATACAAGAAGTTTCAGCCCTATACACTTCTCTGTTTTCAGCAACAGATGAACTAAAAATGGCTTTACGGGCCCGAAAAGTTGCCGGGGCTTTTGAGAAACGGGCCCCAGATCTCTCTAGTGAATCATGTCAACGCGTCGACAGACCCTGAGAACGATGGCTTTTTTTAAAGGACGAAGCAAGAGAATTTGCAGTTAGTCAGGCACCTCGAATTTCGAGTAGAGATTGTTTTCCAAGTTTATCAAATGAAGTAAGACCGTTTTTAATTAAACAGTGAATCGTAAAAGGGTGATACAAATATTGACTTTGCACTCCATCTTCATTGTGGAAAAATTATGTACGGTCTTGAGCTCCAAGGTTTGATTTTAAGAGAAATAAATTTTTCTCTACTGAGATCTTTCTATTTCAAGTCAACAAAGAAACGGTGAATTTTATATTCCGTATTAAACGAAGTGAGACTCCAGAAGATGAAATTCATGTACGTCGTCAGGAAAGGCTAAGCGTGTTTTTAATGCAGGTGACCATATTTTGTAAAAAGGCACACGATGATTCTTGGTAAAGCGTTGTAAATAAATGAAAACTGTTCATATCAAGACAGTATTGGTTAAGGTGCATTATTTATCAGATTCAAGCGTCCTGCCCGAGATCAAAGTTCTTCTTAAAGCCCCGGCCAAACGGACTCGCAAGTAGACGCAAGTAGACGCAAGTTAAAAAGTTGGGTCTACTTGCGACTCCGTTTGGCCAGGCCTTGCGTGCACTTGCGTTGACTTGCGCTTTCTTTTGTCGAGATCATATCGACGCAAGGTTTTCACCGTTTGGTCACCCAGTGCTTTTCAGGGTAAAATGAAAACTCTTACCCAGTTTGTGTTCGTTTTGCTTTGAGCGCTGTCCATTCAATTGAAACTTCCGAAAATATCGTAACGGGAACAAATGGTACGAAAAGTTCCAGGACAAGTGTCACAAGTTCCAGGGAAAGTTTCCAGAAAATGCGGAAATTGTTGAATTTCCGAAAAGCGGTACATTAAACCAAAATTTCCGGGAGGAAAGTCAAATGGAAAGGGCATTTCCGGTAAGAAATTACCGTAAATTTCGGTATACCTTGCAAGGTTTTCCTCTTTTTCGAATTTTCCGAAAATGCTGGTTCATTCGTCACCAGAAACGTCCGGAAATTCAAACCGAAATTTTATCGAATGGAAAGCGCCCTTGATTTTCTTGTTTCCAAAATAAGCAGAGAATCACTAAACGAGCATGCGATTGTGTAATTCCACGGGGGCCACTTCAAGCGTTGAGCCTACGAACTGAAATGACCTTTGTCAGTTGTTTTGGCGGCGTGTCACAAACGACGGCAATCAGTGCGCGCGCAGTTTACTGCAATTGTATTCGGCCAAAGTTGTCGGAGTTTACTGCGGCGTGAAACAACGGAGGAACAAATACGCTACAGTTTAGGCCTTAAATAATGTTACGAACTTCGAGGAGGACAGTCGAAACCGAGCTGAACACCCTAAATATTGCAACTGGGGAGTCATCGAGAGAAAGGCACATGATTAGCAGGAGTGGAGAAGCTTTATCGCTGAACACCGATTGGCGTACAAGGCAGTACGTAAGTAATAATGTTATCAGAACCATCATAAATTCACCACTCCATGGTTTTTGGAGTACTATTCACATTTTTCAAACAGACAAGAAAAGAAAGGACAACTTTCACTTTATCAAATCATTACCAATTCACATAGTCACTTGCATTTCTGAAAGTCCATTTATGGGAACAATCATTACAAAAGTATGCGAGGTGTGTTTTATTTACATCGTCTGCCATATATTCGGAAGAACAACTGTTGTTCTCGGCAAATCTTTGTGAAAGCACGCAAGCAGTAAAATTGTTATTGTCCAATCAAGTACTCCGAAGATATCACGTGAATCTGTCGCCATCAGGATGAAGCATGTCACTTAGCAACCCTTTCAACGAAAATCGCGGGCTCGGGAAAGTCTCAGTGACTTGTTCTCCAGAATCAAACGCTGCTATGTTAGAGCTCCAGAGTTGCATCTCGCTGACATCGGTTCAATGATCATGACCGCAGGATTACAGCGATTGTCGTAAGATCCATCGTTTGGCGATGACCTGAGGCACTCTGTAGTCAGGATGAGATGAAGAGAAAGAGCAGTGTCACGTGTACAGTCTGATCAGGTGATCTGCACCTGCAGTGAAGATCCAGGGCTGGGTTGGATGAAACTGACAATCCAGTACACCTGAAACGGACACGAGAAGAGAAATGCAGTAACATGACATGAATCGCTGAAAGGAAATGACAGAATTTTACTACAAAATGAAAAGTACACCGAGATCTCCCAAAGGAAACAAATAATTGCAAGGCGCATTGCCCTTCTTACATTCACATTTACATTGAATTCTTGCAAAATTACCCGGTGACACGAGCGTAAGATTAAATAAACAAAATTTAAATACAAAAATAGACAGCGAAATCTCAAAAAAATAAAATGGAATAAAATTACAACTAAAAGTGGTCAGAGATGGTGGCCTTACATTTTCTTGAAGAGTCTATCGATGGCCAAAACTACACCTGACAACTACAGGTAACGTAAGAATAAAGAAAGACCCCGCGACTCAACGATGGCCAGAAATAAAAAGACGTTCTTCTATACGAGTAAAACGTAATCTGGGACGAATCCGGCATGAGATATGAAAGGCGAACTGTACACTTTTGTTCACCAGGGAACTCAAAGTACAGGGCCAGGAGAAACCATTTCTCTTGTACAAAAATGTTTTTCACTGCTTATGGTTTGTGTAGTTTGAGATTACTAAGGCTCAAAATTGAAGGAGAAACAATGTAAACGGGAATCCTCACCGAAAAGTTACAAAACTGAAATCAAAATTCTAGCATATCCTGGGTAAGCTTAATCGGGCTTTGAACAACCTGGCCGTGTTCACCAATGAATTCAAAGTCCAGAACTTTCAGGGAAAACGGATACGCTAGTTTACGACACAGAGAAGTACGCAGTCGCTTCGTGTGTTTTAAGGCAAGAACAGTTTCGTCTCATCATGAAGTGAAATACCAAATGGAGTCACAGTTAACCTACCCAATTCTCCAACCACTTTGTGTCCTTTTAAGACCTTGACGGGAACTATCAGTGGGTTCTGCATCAAGTCACTGGAATAAATGGATGACAAGTTCTTACTAACACGGAAAGTAACCAGTCACTTCTCCAGACACTGGAGGTAAGTACGATTTACAATTATAAGTAAAAGAGCAAGTGGGGAAACATGCACCACCAAGGGCTCAGTGGGGATAAGTCTATCGTGTAACTTACTTGAAGATCCTTCCATGACATACAATAACCGTCCCGTCATCACTAGCGGACGCAAACAGAGGGAAGTGCCGATGGAACGTTACTTGACGTAAAGCTTTCTTGTGACTCCTGAAAATCATCAATGAAATTAACATCAATGTAACGAGGGCAACTGGATTTCGGCGTAGACATTTCTCAGTTTGAATTCCAGAAAAGTCAAGGAGGGTCCTTAACTACCAATTGGTCATGAATTTGTTGCTAAGGAAGGTTTCTAACCGTCATATTTTGAAAACCAGACCTCCTAAGTATACCATTTTTGTACAGGTTTGTTCCATCGAAGAGTCCTGCAAAAGTTTCAAATCACAGCCATATTTGACCAGTCACGGGACAAGAATGGATGAAAAACCTAAAACTTAACGTTACCGTATACCTTTAGAGGTGTCTCGCGTCCAAGCGATGTAGCGCGTCCAGTTTAAACTGTAGATACCTAAACCCCTATATCAAATTAAAACTTAGAGCTGGCTGTCAAACTATATCAAAAATTTGAAATAATTTTTACGACCTCTAAATGTGAGCGTCCGAGTCACCTTTTGAAAGCTACAAGTCAAAGCGAATTTTGTTTTTCGCTCATTTACTTTGTCCCTCAGTTTCCGGACCCAAAGCGCCAAAAAAAAGGTGTCTGCGATTTGCCATATTCAATTTGAGTGAAAAGTTACGGAACATTTTCGAAAAAGCATAAAAAAATATGGAGAGATCGAAGATAAATCTCTCGAGAAAAAAATATTTGGAAATAAAATATTCGCAGACAAATTTTTGTTGTTTTTGTGTCAAAATAGCTATTGTCCAAACTTAAGGACATACGAACATATTCCCTTTGCCTTGTAGCTTTCAAAAGGGACCCAAACGGATGATTCGGATGCGCACATTTAAAGGTCGAGAAAAATTCGACAATTCATTTTATTTCAAAATTCTTGGAATAGTGTGACAGCCAGCTCTTTAAGCTTTAATTAATAGGGATTTAGATATCTACAGTTAAAACCGGACGAGCTACATCCCATAGACGCGAGACACCTCTAAAGGTGTTCTAGAGGTATACGGTAACCTAAAAGGCATCTAAAGCCGAAAATTTAAATCAGTGTCAATAGATTAAGAACGTCCACGTGCTTAATCCTACGTATGGGTTTTATGAAACTCGCATTAACATAAAACTGATGAGGTAATAAACACACGTATTAACAGACTCAACAATAGCTTTCCTCTTTCACGTGAAAACCGTAATTCCATACGTACGGTTATAAAGAAGGCTAAGTTTTTTCTGATTCACGAGAAAAGTCGGAACTCTTCCTCTTTTTTTCCAAGTATTAAACTCTAACGCACGGTTTGAGACTGGCACTAGTTACGCACGCGAAAACATTTTGTTTTTTCAAACCAAGCCTTCCCTCATATAAAGTTCACCATCTAGCCCTGCAAAACGCTCCAAAATAGTTTTTCTTTAAGTATCGTCTTCAGCAATCCCTCGATTGACGGCGGTAAAAAAAGGGAAACATCACTTTGTATTTAAAGGAGCTACGTCACGACTTGCTCATCTTGAAAAGTTTAGTATAAATTTTTCAAGTTCGTCGTTTGCAATCCCTGTCAATCTTCTCCATCCTTAACCATTCTTGCTCTTTTACGGTTTATTATTATCTCTTTGGTGCTTTTCTGTCGTCAGTTAGTAAAATTAGTATTTTTTGATTTCCTTTAGCTTGCGAACAGGCTCCCGGCGAGGACGGAAAAAAAAGTCGCCGAGCGCGAAACGGAAGAAGCGAAGCGATCAGTCACCGAGAGCCTGTTCCAATGCTAGGTTTTCTTCAATTTAAAGGCAATTTTGTACGTGGCCAAAATAACTCAAAATACCGTGACTGAGCTCCTTTAAATTTTTTTTTCTGCGCAGTTAAAGAGAGACACCACTCCATGGTTGCTTGGGACATTTTAATTATACTAGGCCATGTAATGAACAAACGTTACAAAAGTCAGCGTTCCGTGTTCTTCACTGTCACTTAGTTAAATGTAATAAGTTTAAGAGCTACCAGTGCTTTATGTATTTAACCAAATTCTCTTCAGACTTGTTATAATATTTTCCAGGCTTTCAAATAGCACTTTTAAACGTTACACTTTGAACGTTATGTGCGGGCAGGATATATAAGGTGCTGTACCTTCCCCTTTCAGGTACGCTATAAACGCGGGCTCTGTATACGACACATCTACACTGTTATGCCCGTAAATATCATTGAACGCAGTCCATTCGCGCTGAACGTGAGCGCAAAACTTCTCCACCACACGTACCAGTGCATTAACTACAGCAAAAACTAATAAGATGCCAAGAAAGCCAAGGTAATTAGTAATTTTCCCAGCTCCAATTTGGCTGTTAACTGAGTCGTGTGTAGCTGAATCTTGAGTATAATTCTCGTGGCAGTCATGACTCTGGTGTTCACCAGCAAAATTTCTTTTGCCAGAAGACTCTCGGCGAGGAGGTTCTGTTGCACCTGGAGAAACTTTCTCTGTGGTGTTAAAACTTCTCTTTCTGCGGTAAACCAGTTCCTCAACTGGTGGAGGCTTCATCCGCAAATCTGTTTTACTTCTAACCACGCTCCTTTGCTGAAAAGATGGTGCGAGTTTCTTGACTTTGCGGGCTTTTTTGTTGTTCTTCTCTCGAGTTATTTTCATAAGATGATGACTTTCCGTTGCTGTTTGCTGACAACGTACATTAGGGTCTGGGATCTCGCCTTTTATGTACGCTATAAATGCGGGATCTGTATGCTGCTCGACCGCCGCGCTGTCTCCTTGAATATCACTAAACTCCTGAAACTCACTTTCAACGTATGTGCAAATCTTCTGCGCCCAGAGTGTCGCCGTCTTCGCCAAGACATTTGTTACACAAGGAATACAGGGACAACTGACAATGGAGAAATTACGCAGAACAGACCCTTTGCTTTTCATCTCTGACTCCATTATTCTCGGATTATATGAACAAATATATCCTTTTAGTTTGTCTGTGACGTTTCATCTTTCTTCTGTTCCGTCATTTACCGACAGCTTGCGCTCGCGTACATGCACGCGCGACTTGGCGCGCGCTCCGTCGTAACCGTGCAAATGTACCGGGACGTTTTTTGCCTCTTTCGGGCCTTTTCAGAAATCACGACTCTCTGCTTAAAAAACGAGAAACATGATTTACTGATAAGAAAGTCACGCACGTTTTTATGATCGAGGCGGCAGCGCAGACAACTGAAGGACAACAGGTTTCTCCCGAGCTAACTGGGGAGGTGGTTCGTTAAACCTCTGATCTGCAGCAGGGCAGAAGATTTCTAACATCTCTGAATTTTTTTTTCTTTTTCTTTTTGGAATTTAGGCCGTTGTTCACGCGAGTCGCGAACTTTATCATTAGTTGAGAAAGTTTCC